AAAGGTAAAACTCCACATATAAGCAGAGTTGATTTACTTCACTAGTTGATGTATTGGTTGTTTTGCAGAATAGAAAGAACTGAATTGACTCACGTTATGTACTCTGTTTGCACTAAAATATTGATAACATTGTTGGTATCCAGATGTCCTGAGTTAAGATTACACATGTTACAGTCAGGTTAGATCAATGCTGACTGGTTTTTCTATCAGATATCAGATTATTCCGTGTCTGCACTGGCATGTGAACTGTTCTGAAAATGTCAATTTCCAGGTTGTGTGTGTTTGATTTAAAGTACTTTTAAAGTAACTGAAGTTTCCTTTTCTTGAAAAAAAAATGAATGAATAATGAACAAGTAAACAATTTAGACGACAAACAGATCTTCTTTCTGTGACTCAGCAGATAAAATAATACTTTTTTTATACCCAAGAATAGCTTCCTGCTCCCTGTCTTATTTGATTCCATGTGGATGTGGACCAGCCAGGTCTATGAGGGTGTGACATGAAAATAACTCTTGCCTCACTTGATACACAGCAAACATTTAGAAATGAAATTGCCTTCCAATTTAAAGAAGAATCCTGCAGCACTGATACTTTGAAAAGTAGTTATTTATTTAATGAGTCAGTGTGAGATGTTATAGTGAGATATATCATTCCTAAATAGAAAGTAACTCTATTATGAGAAAAAGTTTTTTTTTAACAAGATGAATGTAGTGTTAAAAGAAATAATTGACTTCCTACTTTCCTGCCAATTTTTTTTTTCTTTTTGCTTCTCTTTGCAAAGCAAACATTTTATATTGCATAGTATTATGTGATGCATTTGGTTCATTTTCGTGTCTCTCAAAAGTTCATAAAAATATCAAACTAAGCGCTGTGAAATAAGACCTTAAAGGCATGCTGGGCGCTATGTCAGAAACATCTAACATTCCTTCTCACACACGTCAAGCTCCCTGCGTGCGTGCCTTAAGTGTCAGGCAGAACCTTGAATAACTACTTGAAGCAAAAAGGAGATAGGCCTTCTTGATCAGAGGTTGGGAATAAGTTTGTTTCCAAACCATACACTGAGTTTCTGACCGTTGAGAAAAGGCATGGCCAGTTCTCAGCATACCAACCAGGGGATCATAAAAATTTTATATTATACATTTAAATGTCAAGATGATATTTTGCAGACAATCGTCTCCAGTCGGACATTTGAGTCTTGGGGTAATTTTGTTCATGAATAAAATATCACTTAACCCTTCTTATTAAAGAATGATATATTCTGTCAGACATTGAGTTAGAAAAAAAAATGTATGGAGATTTAATGAATGCGACATTGATGGCTACAACAAGTTTGACCCAGGGGCAAGTTTTCATTCATTGTTCCTTAAATTCTTTGAATTCAGTTCATAGTGTCTTAATAAAGGATAGGACGACATACCACAGGCATGTCATAGAAAGAGAGCATTGATAGTGCCATCCTATTTTAACATCGTCATGCACCTGTGGGTACAATAATGACTGTTGTGAGTTATCTCCCCATACATTAAGGATGACTGTCATTGTAGGGGCACATTCAGTTACAGTGGAGGCCATAGGGGAAGTCACTGCATACATGCACACACACACACACAATAACACACACGTAGTACCTGTCTCACACGCTGTCAGGCATTGGCAGGATGGAGAGAACTGGAAGACATCAGAGGTCCGCTTCCTACAAGAGGTCTTCTGTGGCACACATGGAAGGATTAACTCAACAACAACAACTTCAGCGCTCCAAGAGGAACTCCATTGCCAAATTGGAAGGGTTGACGCATACAAGATCGCCTTCTTATAAAAGAAACTCAATTGCCAAATTGGAAGGGATTCTGGGGTACCGGAAAAACTCGTCTTCTGGTGCTTATGGCGGTGATGTACAAGCTGCACAGAACTGGGATTTAGAAACTTTGAAATTGGTCAATCACAAGTTAGAAAATTATGTGAATATGGTATGTATATATCAAGACATGCCTGTGCCTGACTGGACTCCATTCCTCCCTTATTACTGTTTTTTTAGGAATTATCTATTAAGAAATATAAAGGTACACTCTCTTTTGAAAGACAATGTGGTATTAGTGTTCCAGTTCCTAGCAAAAAAGGGTGTGTGAAAAGTATCATTTTATCTGTTTAACTGAATATCCTCTTGTTTCTAAATTCAATGGTCTTCATGCAGTGTTTATTGTATCCTTTTCAAAATTAAGCTATCATTCTATTGGAATAACCCAAAAAGGGTGTCGGATATATTTAACATGTCTGGTTTGGTAAGAACAAGGTATTTCCTGTGCTGTATAATACATGTATTCTGGGTTTGTATTGTTACAGGCTGGAATGAGGTGCGATGGGTCAAAGAATATTGGTAAAGGGTCAGCGATGAAAGGTTTCTCAATATAATGTGTCCCACTGGATGGGAAGAAATACTTGCCGTGGTGGTTTAATACGGTAGTGTCATCTGGTGTCTGTGGCTGCACTTTTGAGTCATTCGGTTGTCTGGAACGCATGCAATGTCATTTCTCTGAAATGTTGGGGCTCTTTAATTCCAGTCAGAAATTCTTTTTTTATGTGACTGATAGCTTAAAGGATTTCTTAATGATTAGAGCTGAAAATTGGTCTACATTGAGAAACAAAGAAGTTATTCTGATGGAAATTTTGTTTTAGGTGAGTGTTTATGAGATCTTTACAGCTGGCGGTTATTCTTGGTCGTTATAAAGACTCCTGCTTGGTCCCTTTGCCTGACAGCACACAGGATGTAGATGTTCTCTATAAAACGAGGATCTGTATTGCTTTTAACAGCAAGGTTAAAGTGCATTTATATTAGATTACAGCCCACATACTTGAATAGGATAGTTAAAATGATAAAGGCACACCTGAATGCAGGTAATGGTACAGAAAAAAATGAGAATCACATTGAACTGAGAAATATATAGTAATGGAAGGCAACCATTTGGAAGTGATACAGGTTTTTAAATAGTCAGCTGATACTACATTTGAAGGAAAAGCCCATTTTGTTAGCTACACCAACTGTGTGTAATGAAAACCTGTTTGATTTTGAAAGGATATTTTATCAAATTCAATGCATCAGTCATTTTCAGGTCATGATACTGTATGATACATAAGTTTTTTTTTTTTTTTTTTTTTTTTTTGCCAAAATTATGTAGTACGCCAAGGATCTTATGCAACAGATGTGAGCTGACAAAAGAAAAGAAAAGAAAAAGAACGCTCTCCATTACAGAAATACATGAAAGGCAAACCACAATTTGTTGCACATGATTATTTACTGATGCAACAAATGGTAGCGTAATTTCAACACATTTGTAAATTTAGCAGCATGATCTTAGACCCCATTCCCAGAGATTAGATCGATCCAACTAGATCGGCCTAACTCCGTGGGGGTTCACGCTAAATAGCTGTCAGCCAAACGGGTACGAAAGTCAATTACCCCCTTATAGCTTGTAGTAGGCGAGACAGACATTTAAGCCGGATTATCTGACAGTAATCTAGTGAGACTCCCCACAGGGATAGATCGATCTAAAATCTATGGGAATGCACCCTTAAAGCCACTGAAACACACCTTGTATGCAGCACATTGTGACCCCACAAGGCTCTGCATGTATTAAAATAAGCAGTATTTCAGCCATGTTTGGATCAGTATTCAAACTACCAGCTGAAGTTCAGGTAATTGAGAGAAAGTTTAAGTGGGATATTGCATGCCAAAGATCCAGCAGGTATAAAACTGTACACAGAGTTATCAGTGCTGGCCAGAAAGTACATTCCTTAATTGCATAATCAGAATAGTGACATTTGATATAAAATGTCTCTGTCATGCAGAACTCAGATTATTTATATATGTATTAAGGTACATAGTGGTTGTTATTTGCAGTTGACAAGACTTTGAATTTCACCATCAATCTTATGATGATTGTTTTAAAAGATTTTTTTCCACATTGGGTAAAGAATGATAGGCCCCTTGAATTATTTATTTGGAAGCCATACGAGAATGCAGGAACACGCAAGGTTTAAATTACCTTGCTGGATTTTTCTTTTCATTTCATTTCATTTATTTATCACCAGAGAATATGATAATGGAATATATCTAAAATGGGAGAATATGATAATGGAATATATCTAAAATGGGAGAATATGATAATGGAATATATCTAAAATGGGAGAATATGATAATGGAATATATCTAAAATGGGTTAATATGATAATGGAATATATCTAAAATGGGAGAATATGATAATGGAATATATCTAAAATGGGTTAATGGGACTGGTGTCTCTGTGAGGTCCCTGATGGAAAAAGTTGATGGGGCATTCATGAGTTTGCATTTAAATTGAATTGAGAATGTTGCCATATTAAAGCATGTGCTTAATCTATCAAAACTCCCCAATTTTAGTCACCCATAGCTCACTTCTCATTAAGTTCCAGCACTGGATTTGGTCCAATGAGATCAAATTACACCCCATGTGATATTTTAATTCCCTGCTTTTTAAAGCAGACGGAACATAAAAAGTGCTATTGTATATTTTAAGTGAAACAGAAGTCCAAAAGTGAGAAAGGATGGACATGCTGGGCGTGGAGTTGGTTGTGTAGGCAGCAGCACTGTGTCAGGTTTTTAGTTAAACTGCTATGCTAGGTACACATATTAACGACACCTAATAGATGTAGAGTCGTATTCCACTCAATACAGTGTGAAGTGGCTGTGATTTGAAACTGGAGAGGTTCAAGCTGAATAATGGTGACATTTTAAGAAGAGCACAAACAACCAAAGTGCACCATAAGGAATTGGTTTTAAAAATATATAATCTTTCAGAAAGTAATTAATTTTTTTTTCTGCTCAAGAACATGCAGGAAGAGAAAGTAGCGCCAAGCCCAACAGTGATTAGATTTTTTTCTACAGGATTATTACTGCCATGAAAGGAGACAATAAATGAGAGAACTGTTTGGCACAGGTTATCGTAAGGTCTCTGTTGTTATTTCAGTTGCCCAGCGGCGTGGACCTCACTCTGAGTGAGCTACAAGAAATGGCCACCAGGCAGCAGCAGCAAATCGAGACACAGCAACAAATGCTTGTGGCCAAGGAACAACGCCTAAAGTTCTTGAAACAGCAAGAACTCAAGCACCAACAGATAGCGTCTGAAAATGAAAAGTTGAGGAAATTACGAGAGAAAGTGGAAGTTCAAGAGCTGAAGTTAAAGAAGCTGAGAGCTTTGAGAGGCCAAGTGGAACAGCACCGCCACAGCAATGGAAATCTGAGTATGTGCAGGGAGTTGTTTTGGAATTTTTGAAGAGTTTGTCATTCTTTGTTTGTATGAGATGTGTGTATCATTTTCTTTAGACATTGAGTAAACCAGGAATCAGATTACAAGCTTTTAAATGTAACTTTTTGGTCTTGTTTACTCTGCATGTTTGGTGAATTGAAAAAAATCTAAAGATCCTGGGGCTGTCTTATACAATACTGAGATTTTCCTTTTGATAAAATGTTTTTTAATGAATTAAGAGGAAAAAGATAAGTGTTCAGTTAAAAGTCAGTGATATCAAACAGTTTTGAAGGAAGTTAGAAATAAGTAATCTTGATAACAATTACAGTAATTGTGAACTTTATCAATTTGGTCTTCCCAAAAAATATTTGCGACATCTGCCTTAAATAAACATGATTGACACAAGTCAAGGAGACCATTGTAATGTCTCTCTTACTAATTAATCTTGTTACACATTCTAAGCAAAATCCACAGGTCTATCATTATCAATTTCATCCACTAACACAGAATATTGCCCTTCAACTCCAGTGTCTGAACTAGAGGCCATCAAGTCTGTGTTCAATGAGAAGGAAAAGGAACTTAGCCTGGCAGTCAACAAGGTGGAAGACCTGACCAGGCAGTTGGAGGAAGTCAAGAGGGGCAAGGTGAATGGAGGCAATGGAGATGGCACCACTAATAAATCCACTGCTGTCCTGGAACTTGAGAAGTTGAGGAAAGAGTTAATGGTAAGTTAGTTAGAATGTGACCTGCTGCATTATACCCAGACATAAAAACAGCCAGGCATGCAAACCAGTAATTATAAAAAAATTATAAATTTGCCAGACCAAAGTACTTTTTGCCAGACTGACTTTTGAATTCATAATGGCAGTTCTTGAAATTGTAGCTGGTTCGTTGGACAGACTAAATACAATTTATTTGTTAATGGTCCTTGAAAATTTTATGGTCACGACTGGTAGGACTGACAGTTTCAGCTTGTAGGGAGCCAGTGAGTGAAAACTGTTTACCACTGCTCACAAATTACAAATGATGAAAATTATATTGCTCAGCTTAATGAAGCTTCTGTTTGTAGTAAATATTTCACATTATGTGTTGTAAAAAATTAGTTTGTTTGTATGATTAAATTAAATTATTCTTTGATAAAATATTCTTTTACTCTTGTTCTGGTTTTTGATTTTTGTAGAAAACCCTCCTATTAGAATACAAAGTATTTTTACAAGAGATATTTCAATATAAAAAGTAGTAAGATATAATCAAAATTTTTATTANTATAGTATGAGAAAAAGTTTTTTTTAACAAGATGAATGTAGTGTTAAAAGAAATAATTGACTTCCTACTTTCCTGCCAATTTTTTTCTTTTTGCTTCTCTTTGCAAAGCAAACATTTTATATTGCATAGTATTATGTGATGCATTTGGTTCATTTTCGTGTCTCTCAAAAGTTCATAAAAATATCAAACTAAGCGCTGTGAAATAAGACCTTAAAGGCATGCTGGGCGCTATGTCAGAAACATCTAACATTCCTTCTCACACACGTCAAGCTCCCTGCATGCGTGCCTTAAGTGTCAGGCAGAACCTTGAATAACTACTCGAAGCAAAAAGGAGATAGGTCTTCTTGATCAGAGGTTGGGAATAAGTTTGTTTCCAAACCATACACTGAGTTTCTGACTGTTGAGAAAGGCATGGCCAGTTCTTAGCATACCAACTAGGGATCATAAAAATTTTATATTATCCATTTAAGTATCAAGATGATATTTTGCAGACAATCGTCTCCAGTTGGACATTTGAGTCTTGGGGTAATTTTGTTCATGAATAAAATATCACTTAACCCTTCTTATTAAAGAATGATATATTCTGTCAGACATTGAGTTTAGAAAAAAAAATGTATGGAGATTTAATGAATGCGACATTGATGGCTACTACAAGTTTGACCCAGGGGCAAGTTTTCATTCATTGTTCCTTAAATTCTTTGAATTCAGTTCATAGTGTCTTAATAAAGGATAGGACGACATACCACAGGCATGTCATAGAAAGAGAGCATTGATAGTGCCATCCTATTTTAACATCGTCATGCACCTGTGGGTACAATAATGACTGTTGTGAGTTATCTCCCCATACATTAAGGATGACTGTCATTGTAGGGGCACATTCAGTTACAGTGGAGGCCATAGGGGAAGTCACTGCATACATGCACACACACACACTAACACACACGTAGTACCTGTCTCGCACACTGTCAGGCATTGGCAGGATGGAGAGAACTGGAAGACATCAGAGATCTGCTTCCTACAAGAGGTCCTCTGTGGCACACATGGAAGGTTTAACTCAACAACAACAACTTCAGCGCTCCAAGAGGAACTCCATTGCCAAATTGGAAGGGTTGACGCACACAAGATCGCCTTCTTATAAAAGAAACTCGATTGCCAAATTGGAAGGGATTCTGGGGTACCGGAAAAACTCATCTATTGGTGCTTATGGTGGTGATGTACAAACTGCACAGAACTGGGATTTAGAAACTTTGAAATTGGTCAATCACAAGTTAGAAAATTATGTGAATATGGTATGTATATATCAAGACATGCCTGTGCCTGACTGGACTCCATTTCTCCCTTATTACTGTTTTTTTAGGAATTATCTATTAAGAAATATAAAGGTACACTCTCTTTTGAAAGACAATGTGGTATTATAGTGTTCCAGTTCCTAGCAAAAAAGGGTGTGTGAAAAGTATCATTTTATCTGTTTAACTGAATATCCTCTTGTTTCTAAATTCAATGGTCTTCATGCAGTGTTTATTGTATCCTTTTCAAAATTAAGCTATCATTTTATTGGAATAACCCAAAAAGGGTGTCAGATATATTTAACATGTCTGGTTTGGTAAGAACAAGGTATTTCCTGTGCTGTATAATACATGTATTCTGGGTTTGTATTGTTACAGGCTGGAATGAGGTGCGATGGGTCAAAGAATATTGGTAAAGGGTCAGTGATGAAAAGTTTCTCAATATAATGTATCCCACTGGATGGGAAGAAATACTTGCCTTGGTGGTTTAATACGGTAGTGTCATCTGGTGTCTGTGGCTGCACTTTTGAGTCATTCGGTTGTCTGGAACGCATGCAATGTCATTTCTCTGAAATGTTGGGGCTCTTTAATTCCAGTCAGAAATTCTTTTTTTATGTGACTGATAGCTTAAAGGATTTCTTAATGATAAGAGCTGAAAATTGGTCTACATTGAGAAACAAAGAAGTTATTCTGATGGAAATTTTGTTTTAGGTGAGTGTTTATGAGATCTTTACAGCTGGCGGTTATTCTTGGTCGTTATAAAGACTCCTGCTTGGTCTCTTTGCCTGACAGCACACAGGATGTAGATGTTCTCTATAAAACGAGGATCTGTATTGCTTTTAACAGCAAGGTTAAAGTGCATTTATATTAGATTACAGCCCACATACTTGAATAGGATAGTTAAAATGATAAAGGCACACCTGAATGCAGGTAATGGTACAGAAAAAAATGAGAATCACATTGAACTGAGAAATATATACTAGTAATGGAAGGCAACCATTTGGAAGTGATACAGGTTTTTAAATAGTCAGCTGATACTACATTTGAAGGAAAAGCCTGTTTTGTTAGCTACACCAACTGTGTGTAAGGAAAACCTGTTTGTTTTTGAAAGGATATTTTATCAAATTCAATGCATCAGTCATTTTCAGGTCTTGATACTGTTTGATACATATGATTTTTTTTTATTTTGCCAAAATTAAGTTGTACGTTCTTTCAAGGCCAAGGATCTTATGCAACAGATGTGAGCTGACAAATAAAAAAAAGGGGAAAAGAAAAAGAATGCTCTCCATTACAGAAATACATGAAAGGCAAACCACAATTTGCTGCACATGATTATTACTGATGCAACAAATGGTAGCGTAATTTCAACACATTTGTAAATTTAGCAGCATGATCTTAGACTGCATTCCCAGAGATTAGATCAATCCAACTAGATCAACCTAACTCCCTGGGGGTTCACGCTGAATAGCTGTCAGCCAAACGGTACGAAAGTCAATTACCCCCTTATAGCTTGTAGTAGACAAGACAGACTTTTAAGCCGGATTATCTGACAGTAATCTAGTGAGACTCCCCACAGGGATAGATCGATCTAAAATCTATGGGAATGCACCCTTAAAGCCACTGAAACACACCTTGTATGCAGCACATTGTGACCCCACAAGGCTCTGCATGTATTAAAATAAGCAGTATTTCAGCCATGTTTGGATCAGTATTCAAACTACCAGCTGAAGTTCAGGTAATTGAGAGAAAGTTTAAGTGGGATATTGCATGCCAAAGATCCAGCAGGTATAAAACTGTACACAGAGTTATCAGTGCTGGCCAAAAAGTACATTCCTTAATTGCATAATCAGAATAGTGACATTTGATATAAAATGTCTCTGTCATGCAGAACACAAATTATTTATATATGTATTAAGGTACATAGTGGTTGTTATTTGCAGTTGACAAGACTTTGAATTTCACCATCAATCTTATGATGATTGTTTTAAAAGATTTTTTTCCACATTGTGTAAAGAAAGATAGGCCCCTTGAATTATTTATTTGGAAGCCATACTAGAATGCAGGAACACGCAAGGTTTCAATTACATTGCTGGATTTTTCTTTTCATTTCATTTCATTTATTTATCACCGGAGAATATGATAATGGAATATATCTAAAATGGGAGAATATGATAATGGAATATATCTAAAATGGGAGAATATGATAATGGAATATATCTAAAATGGGAGAATATGATAATGGAATATATCTAAAATGGGAGAATATGATAATGGAATATATCTAAAATGGGTTAATGGGACTGGTGTCTCTGTGAGGTCCCTGATGGAAAAAGTTGATGGGGCATTCATGAGTTTGCATTTAAATTGAATTGACAATGTTGCCATATTAAAGCATGTGCTTAATCTATCAAAACTCCCCAATTTTAGTCACCCATAGCTCACTTCTCATTAAGTTCCACCACTGGATTTGGTCCAATGAGATCAAATTACACCCCATGTGATATTTTAATTCCCTGCTTTTTAAAGCAGACGGAACATAAAAAGTGCTATTGAATGTTTTAAGTGAAACAGAAGTCCAAATGTGAGAAAGGATGGACATGCTGGGTGTGGAGTTGGTTGTGTAGGCAGCAGCACTGTGTCAGGTTTTTAGTTAACTGCTATGCTAGGTACACATATTAACGACACCTAATAGATGAAGAGTCGTATTCCACTCAATACAGTGTGAAGTGGCTGTGAATTGAAACTGGAGAGGTTCAAGCTGAATAATGGTGACATTTTAAGAAGAGCACAAACAACCAAAGTGCACCATAAGAAATTGGTTTTAAAAATATATAATCTTTCAGAAAGTAATTAATTTTTTTTTCTGCTCAAGAACATGCAGGAAGAGAAAGTAGCGCCAAGCCCAACAGTGATTAGATTTTTTTCTACAGGATTATTACTGCCATGAAAGGAGACAATAAATGAGAGTACTGTTTGGCACAGGTTATCGTAAGGTCTCTGTTGTTATTTCAGTTGCCCAGCGGCGTGGACCTCACTCTGAGTGAGCTACAAGAAATGGCCACCAGGCAGCAACAGCAAATCGAGACACAGCAACAAATGCTGGTGGCCAAGGAACAACGCCTTAAGTTCTTGAAACAGCAAGAACTCAAGCACCAACAGATAGCATCTGAAAATGAAAAGTTGAGGAAATTACGGGAGAAAGTGGAAGTTCAAGAGCTGAAGTTGAAGAAGCTGAGAGCTTTGAGAGGCCAAGTGGAACAGCACCGCCACAGCAATGGAAATCTGAGTATGTGCAGGGAGTTGTTTTGGAATTTTTGAAGAGTTTGTCATTCTTTGTTTGTATGAGATGTGTGTATCATTTTCTTTAGACATTGAGTAAACGAGGAATCAGATTACAAGCTTTTAAATGTAACTTTTTGGGTTTTGTTTACTCTGCATGTTTGGTGAATTGAAAAAAATCTAAAGATCCTGTGGCTGTCTTATACGTTGCTGAGATCTTCCTTTTGATAAAATGTTTTTAAATGAATTAAAAGGAAAAAAGATGTGTTCAGTTAAAAGTCAGTGACATCAAACAGTTTTGAAAGAAGTTAGAAATAAGTAATCTTGATAACAATTACAGTAATTGTGAACCTTATCTACATTTGGTCTTCCCAAAAAATATTTGCGACATCTGCCTTTAATAAACATGATTGATACAAGTCGAGGAGACCACTGTAATCTGTCTCCCTAATTAATTAATCTAATTAAACTTGTTACACATTATAAGCAAAATTCACACATCTATCAATTTCATCTACTAACACAGAATATTGCCCTTCAACTCCAGTGTCTGAACTAGAGGCCATCAAGTCTGTGTTCAATGAGAAAGAAAAGGAACTTAGCCTGGCAGTCAACAAGGTGGAAGACCTGACCAGGCAGTTGGAGGAAGTCAAGAGGGGCAAGGTGAATGGAGGCAATGGAGATGGCACCACTAATAAGTCCACTGCTGTCCTGGAACTGGAGAAGTTGAGGAAAGAGTTAATGGTAAGTGATGTAGAATATGACCTGCTGCATTACTTAGACATAAAAACAGCCAGACATGAAGACCAGTAATTATTAAAAAAAAAATTATAAATATGCCAGGCCAAAGTACTTTTTGCTAGACTGACTTTTGAATTCATAATGGCAGTTCCTGAAATTGTAGCTGGTTCCTTGGACAGACTAAATACAATTTATTTGTTAATGGTCCTTGAAAATTTTATGGGTCACGACTGGTAGGACTGACAGTTTCAGCATGTACAGAGCCAGTCAGTGAAAACTGTTTACCACTGCTCACAACTTACAAATGCTGAAAATTATATTGCTAAGCTTAATGAAGCATCTGTTTGTAGTAAATACTTGACATTATGTGTTGTGAAAAATTAGTTTGCTAGTATGATTAAATTAAAATTATTCTTTGATAAAATATTATTTTACTGTTGTTCTGGTTTTTGATTTTTGTAGAAAACCCTCCTATTAGAATGCAAAGTATTTTTACAAGAGATATTTCAATATAAAAAGTAGTAAGATATAATCAAAATTTTTATTAATATAAAAAATGTAAATGATTTTTGATCAGTGATATTAAAATGTACACAAATCATTTCAGATCCGTAACAAGCTCAATGAACAGCAGAGCTCCAAGTTAACTTTGTACAGGGAAACTTTGGCAAAGCGTAAAGATGAAAATTCTTTCTTGGACAACCGCATTGAAGAACTACAGCAACGTTTGAAAAGAAAACGAGCTCAACAGCAGCAGCAAAATGTGAACAAATCTAGTGGCACAGGTGTTCAAGGCACAAACAAATTCATGGGACGTCAGTTAAATTCAAATGTTGCTGCCGTGGAACCCTATATTAAACACACACCAAAGGATGTTACAAAAGATGATATGTTTTCTGAGGATCTGAAGCCATTTGCTCCCAACAAGAATGATCCCAAATATCAGACTCTGCCGTATAATTTGAGATTCCCAGGAAGTGAGACAAAGCAAGAGAATGATGAAGGCAAAACTTCAGACCAGGCCAATAAGAAAGAGTTTGGGAAAGTTACTGATTCAAAACCAGGGGCACCCACAAAGGAGGCAATGAAACCCACAGACGACAATGTTCCAAAAATAGTTACAGGGCCACAGAAGCCCATCAGCAGTGTTCCTCAACACATGAATAAACCATATGCCCCTACATTCAGTAGCACCTCCTCACTTGGAGGGAATAAAAGTATAAGTATTATTCGTGGGCAGCCTGAGGGATTAACAACTAATGAACAGTCGCCTTCACTGTCAGAACTCGGCTCAAGCAGGGATCAGATATATACTAGCACGCCAGTCACTGCAACCCCTACCACTGCAGGAAGCACTGCTCCTTACGCCACACAGCCCTCGGTAGGAACCACCGCTACAACCACTGTCTCAACACCAACACGCCCCCCTCAGGAGAGAGTTTTCTCTGGTCCTGTGCCTCAGCGCCCACCCCTGGAACAAAACAGGGGCCCTGTACCCTTCAGGAGGCCTGGGGACACAGACCCCAGTATCCGAAACCAGGCTCCCCCTCCTTTTTACCAAGGAGGCCCAGTCAGGGGGGTGGCTCCACCACACCCACAGGCACCCCAACCTAGACTGCCAACCCAACCTAATGACAATAGGCAAACTACTACTTCTTCTAGTGGACCGAATACAAATGGAAAAGGCTATGACAACAAACAAATAGCACCGCAACAAAGTAAACAAATTCTGGATAACCGTAATGGTGGTGGTGACCAGAGGTATGACCAGAAACCTCTCCCGAGCAGGACATTTTATAGTGCACAGGAGGTCCCTCCCAGGACATCTGTGCCTGGGTATGGTCAGCAGCCTGCTGGGGTGGCCCCAAGTGACCACACCGTGACGTCCACTATGCCCGCTGTAGTTAGGAGCTCTGTAACCACCAGCCCAGCCACATCTCTGACTGGGAATAAACCCACCTATCGCTATGCACCCAAGAGTGTCATAGCTAACACATATATGAAAAAACTGGGCACAGATGCCCTGGATAACTACAGAAAGAACATGGCCCAACTTTATAAGGATTTTTACCCCAAGAAGAAAGAGGAGGGTGAGAGCAAGACAAATGAGTGGCAACAACAACAACCAGCCACAGCTAGTGGTCAGGCTGGTAAGTCTGCGTCCACTCTGCAGCCGGGTAGTCCTACAGCCAAAGTTCGACCATTGAATTACCCACCTAATACCGAGGATAGCAACAGACAACAGGGGCTACAGCCACCAAAGGGTTACAGCCATACAACTGAGGGTATCCCTGGGGAGGCCAGACCATTAAGCCCAAGTAAATTTGCTGCTTTTGGTGGTCCGTCACAACCACATTTTCTCCACATCGACAAAATGGGACGCCACCATCAGAGAACAAGGCGTAGATCTTCTTCAGAGTCATCAGTTGAGGAAGTTCCTGCTAAGCAGGCTTCGCCATTTTATCACCCAGAGAAAACATCTGCACACCAGCAGCAACAACCTTTGGAGCAAGGTACAGGTAATGGATACAGTTACCCACCACACCCTCCTACCTTGGCAGAGGAGGCGCCCCCTACACCTGTGTCAGCCCAGCCTGAAGGAACAGAGGTCCAAACAAAGTCACAGACTTCCTCTGTGTTTTTACGCAAGAAGACTAATTTGAAAACTGGAAAGTCTGTCAAGAATTCCAGAAGGGTCAGCTTTGATCCACTGGCCTTGCTTCTGGATGCCTCTCTGGAAGGAGAACTAGATCTGGTCAAAAGAGTCACAAAAGAGGTGAGTTGCTACAATCCAACTGAATTTTTTTTCCTTCTGAAATGAAGTCTGCTGATGAAAAGACATGAAATGGGTAATATTACTGTCTTCTTCATTCAGCTTTACATCTAATTTATTCTTGTACTTGTTAATCACCCAAAATGTTGAGATTTAGTTGCTTTTACAATAAGAAATGTGCATTTAAGACTGAAAAGTCTGTCAGTCAAAAAAGAAAAAGACCAGGTGAATAAAAAAAATTTGCTGATTGTTTATTCACAAATTGTTATGGGGAAAAATGACTACATAACTCTAATTTTCTGCGGGATATGCCTTCTCAATTATTAAAAAAAAAAGGAATTATTTCATAACTTTAATTGGGTGTGTGACATAAATAATTTTTGAAATGGTGTAGAAAGTTGCACACCCATATACAATTACAGTATGAATTGAACACTGTGAACCATCTGAATTTTGCTTCTATGGTTTATATACTACACCATAAATTTTACACATGATGAATTATCTTAGTATTCTTCTCATTTGTATGTAATATTAATCGGCCACAGATAGGTAGTCACATTGTATGCAGTATTCATGAGTTTGAATCAGAATGTGGTTTTGGGTCATGTTGCTCCTCTGATTCACACCAGTAAAAACAGCTTTGGTTTACAACATAGCACTTGGCATCCATGAATAAGATTTGATATCAAGTTGATATCAAGTGAGCTGATGAGGTGTTTTTAGATTCATGTCATGCGTGATTGAATGTATTCTTCAATGCACACGGGGAATACTTGGCAAGTTTTATGTCATACCTGCAGGGATCTTTTTTGTGCTGTATTGAAATATCTTGTGCAGTTGAAGAATATACTAAATGTTTTATCAGAATATAGCAAAAAAGATAGGGATATTGATTGAATATATTTTGTGCTGTATAAAATTAGTGATTTTTAGTGTCGTGTTAGGAGCAGTTATTGAATTGGGATAAGCTATGAAATCAGCATATGTCATCATTTATTATTTATTTTCTTTTTTTTGTACATACTACTGTAAATTTTAATTGACCTATCTGAACTTTTTAGATGACTTGAATCACTGTTTGGTTTCTGTTTACCTAAAAATGATATTTTTTGTTTCTTGTAGGTTCCAAACCCCAGTCAGCCCAATGATGAAGGCATCACTGCACTCCACAATGCTATCTGCGCTGGACATTATGAAATTGTCACATTTTTGGTAGAATATGGAGCCGATGTCAACTCGCCTGACAGTGATGGCTGGTAAGAATCATTCAGATTGATGTGCTAATTCTTATTTTTTTCCTTTTTGCCCCAAAAACTTACATATTAAACTCCTTACCAGTTTGTGTCTCAATAAGCTAAGAATTAAGTTGAAAATGCAAATGTTGCTGGTGCAAGCTGAACATTGTGGCTTTGGTTGATATTACGTGACTCGTTTGCCTGTGGTGCAAAGTCGAAATTCTGATCAAAGGTAAAGGGTCTATTTTAATTTAATTTGAGTTTTCCTTTAATGTAGTATGGTTTCTTATTTTAAAAAGTTTGATTAAATTATTTTATCATTAAAATACCCTTGATTTAAATTTACATTGTCAATATGTAAGTTTTTCAAGTGAAATGACTTAAGTCTAAATGACTTTAGTCTGTTTTGTAAATATTTTACCATTAAATTATATATTTGATGTTTTTCCCAGGACTCCTCTTCATTGTGCAGCTTCATGCAACAACCTGCCTATGGTGAAATTTTTGGTTGAACATGGGGCATGCATTTTCGCCACGACCATAAGTGACCATGAAACTGCTGCTGAGAAGTGTGAAGAAGATGAAGATGGCTATGATGGATGTTCAGAATATTTGTACAGTAAGTATACATCTTGATTAAGTCTCAAAATTAAGGCTTTTGCTTAGGATTTCTAACTGCTGAACTTGTAGGTACAACATTCATAGTCCATAAGTAGACTACCAATGTTATTTCTGAGTTTACAGCTTCTTTTGGAAAACCTCGCTCAACTTGTATCCCTGTGCAAGCATCTAAAAATTTAGTATTCACACCATTGTTTGAATAGATTTATTTATATTTTTTCTACTTCAGGTGTCCAGGAAAAGCTTGGTATTCTTAACAGCGGAGTGGTATTTGCTCTGTTTGAATATGAAGCACACAATCCTGATGAGTTGAGCTTCAAACCAGGAGACAAGCTTACTGTACTCAGAAAGGGGGATGAGAATGAGAAGGAATGGTGGTGGGCCAAACTGGGCGACAAAGAGGGATACATCCCAAGGAATCTATTTGGGGTATGAAAACCAGAAAAAAATTCTGTCATACCTTGTGAAATAAAATTGTGTTTGAGAAGATATGATTAAAGTGGCACTGTATCTGTTTTTGTTTAGCAGTCTTATGCAAAAAATGATCATTCATATGTATGTGGAATAATTAGAATATTTACCAGTATGCTCCTTCATTCTTTAATGCATCGAACAATAAGTTTCGACTACTGAATAATTTCATTGAATCTTCTTTATGATAAAGTAAGATTCAACATTGATTACTGTCAGAATCCCTTTATAGAATACATTGTATAATAAATAACTTTTCCTTACTGCTGAAACCAAAGAACAGTAGACAGAAATTGCATATTTTATTATTACTTATTTATAAAATGTTTTATATTTTAGTTTTATCCCAGAGTGACACCACAGCGGGAGTTTGCTGAACTCCAGGATGCCTGAACATGACATACTTCACTAGTCTGGCAGATGAGGACTGGAATGGAAGATTTGTTCATCCGTTCACTAGCTGGGTTCTACTAAAAAAAAATTTAATAGGACAATCATACCATTGGAAGAAGAAATGATTTAACGGAGAAAAAAAATGTTATTCATTTTCAACCTTATTATTCATATTTAAATAAGCTTCACTTTTAGTGCAATATATGTGCATCAGAATGCCATAAATACTACATTTTGAGGGACTGATATCGATTCATCAAAGTATCGCTTGAATTTTAATGTATTTTTCATTGCCTATTTCTGTTTTGGTTGAGGACAATTATTTAACAAAATTATTCACAAATCAAATTTATAAGTCATACAACCGTCCACTAAGATAAAGTTCAATTTAACATGTCTGCAGCAAGGTGATATTGAAAAAAATATTAAGGGATGTCAATTTTTAAACCAAGTCTTATATATAAGATTGTTGACTGTTTGCAAGTGTTAAGTGAAAGATACAATTGTACATAAAGATATTTTACTACAATGCATGCCGATCTAACAATAAATAATGATTTCTTAATGTCCATTGTTGTTGGGTCGTTTCATTCTAAAATGAAAAGGAATATGTACAGAAATACACCATAATTTCATTGACCCAGTTTGTAATAAGTTTATCCATTTGGTCAACTGTTACAAAATAAATTTAACATTTCTTTTTCTGAGCAATTAAAATCCATTCTTGTTTAACCAAATTGAAATTTTGTCTTTGTTAGCATATAACTGTTTTGCATCTGGAGATTTTGACTTGTCCTAAATTTTAATGTAATTGTAAATTGACAGAACAAGGTTTTTCTAAATTTTATTTACAAATCTCGCATCATTCAGAAGTATTCTGACCACATTGTGACTGGTGATCATTTCTCAACTGTGAAATGTTAAGGACTGTAAAGAGTAGCAATGATCACAATATTTGAAATGCATTACTTTTCCCTTTTCAAGATGGCTCAAGTGGTAAAAGATTACATTCAGTGAAAGCAGTCAAAAGAATGCTTTACTGCTGTACAGAAAACTCATAAATAGCTCCTGCGGTGAAAATGGCCTACTTCACAGATCTTTATGTCAATATGATTTGAAGTTTAACAAACCGCAGCCTATTGGAACAGTAACGTTTCTGACAAGTTCACATCATTTCACTACACTGGCTTGTAGTCAAGTTTGGATTCCAATTTCTTGTTATCTGAAACTTTTCTCACAGCTTTCATGAAGTCTTCTTCTATCACATAGTCTCTTTCTGCTCTGATTGCAAACATTCCTGGAAAAAAAGAGTTAACTGTAAGCAATCATACAATAAATCATTTTAACAGGTTAAAGAAATCACTACCTTTTGCCAAAAAAAAAAAAAAAAAAAAATCAGACACCAAAGTATACCTACTTAAAATGCTGCAATTAAAAGTTTGAATATTTCCACAAATGAAATTTGGCTATCCAAACATAGGACCTGATGATAACTAAGTTACTTGACTGTGTACATCATGAATTTCTTTTTACCTGCTTCAGTGCAGACGTTTCGTAAATCTGCTCCATTGAAATCATCAGATAGCTTAACTACAGCTTCCCAATCTGAAAAATACGTATTTTTGGTAATAAATATAGAGATAACTTCTAAATTCATTGTCTTCCATCATTTTAAAGACTAAAATCTATTATACTGAATTAATATTCCCTTTTTTTAACCATATTACCATAAGATGGTTACCATGCTAGAAAAATATTAGCTTCTGGCTTCAGGACCAATATTTACTGCTAAGATTAAAATGATTTGACAGGCAAAAAATGGATGCCCTTGCATTTCCATACCTATATCTCCATGCTTTGCTATTGGAGAAGCATGGATTTTCAAAATTTCCATCCTAGCTTGCTCATTTGGCAGTGGAATTTCTTAAAGTGGTGAAAGATATTCTCAGTGTTATTATTCAAAATCATAAACAACAGGCAAGGCAACTTTTAAATTAAAGACCGATTCATTGGTATCAAAGTACTCTCTATACTATCCAACAGGCCCTCAGCTCTCATAATCGTTTTCATGGGAATCCCAGCTAGCACTGTTCCCAGTCATGGAAGACGGGGGAAGGAAGGCAGCAGGGGAGAGCCAGTAGAAAAGAAATGGTGAGAATTTAGGAAAGGGAAATACAAGAACAGGGTGTGATTGGAGAGAAAATACAAGATCAGACTGACTGGGTCACAGGCTGCCCATCCTCAGAATAACGCGTCCTTTTATAATCATTGGGCCTCTTTTTTTATCTACTACAATACAAGGCAAAACAAATGACTTATTCCTCATTATTCTAAATCTGATCATTTTCTCAACTGTGACAGAAAATATTATTCCTTTGATGTTATACCCAAAGGCAATAATAAATCTCTCCCCAAAGGTAATATCAAATACATCAATCTCCACATGTTGAAAAAATACAATGAAATGATGCTGTTTTATCTTTCATTTCTGAATAATTTCAACTGTTTATATTATCACTTGCCTATTTTTCTGTCCAGTCTCCCGGGCCTAAGAAGAGCTGGATCTAAAGTGTCAGGTCTGTTGGTGGCCATTATAATCTTCACTTGACCTAAAGCATCAAAACCATCCATCTGGTTCAAAAGCTGAAAATAAGGAATATAAAGTGTTGACCATGTCTGAACCTATTATAGGTATAATAAATAAATATACATACATAAATCAATTGATCCTTAAAATAATTTTTAAAATACCCCAGACCAACGGTGGTTTAATATCCTTTCTTAACAAAGTGTAAAGAAAATCTTAAAGTTTTAAAATGACAAATTATTTCATCATGATCAACACTGTCAATTTTGTTTTCTCATCTTCACATTTTCTTCAAGAGAAGCAAACAAAGAGAAAGCTTACTCATTTGAGATTATAATCAGAAATCATTTATCATTCACCCTAATCTCTCATTCCCATTTTCAATCATACCTCCATTAATGTTCTCTGAATTTCTCTGTCTGCTGAAGTTCCTTCTGAGAACCTACGTCCACCTGTAACAAAGATATACAACAACATTTATGACATGATATGTATATTTTTTTCCTCAGGTTATGTAATAGATCATCTCTACACCATCAAGACATTTCTTCTACAAGTTTTTGTAGTGTAATGAACACATGAAAAGCTACTTTATGACAACGAGATGCCCCACCATGTTAATCAGACCCTATACATACCTATAGCATCAATTTCATCCATGAATATGATACATGGCTGGTGGTCTCTGGCATAGGCAAACATTTCACGTATAAGCCTGGCACTTTCTCCAATATATTTGTCCACAATGGCACTGGACACAACCTGAAACACAGTCAACATTGTTAATCTGTCTTTGAAAATTTTAAATCAACAAACTTTAATAATGCTTTTGATAATGCCAATGTACCCTGCTTGTATTTTCAATCACCAACAGCCAATTAAGTAAAATAATTCTGAATCAAGGAAATTATAAATGCTATGGCATACCCTCTCTTATTCAGGTACATACCTTGAGAAAATTGGCTTCAATTTGACTGGCTACAGCTCTAGCTAGCAGTGTCTTTCCTGTACCTGGAGGGCCATATAACAGACAACCTTTTGGTGGTGTGATACCTACACGCATGAACAACTCTGGGTTGAGAAGTGGCAATTCTATCACCTACAAGGTAACCAATTCAGTAAAAAATTAAAGATGTTAGTGCTTAATTATAAAAAAAAAATTACGAGCTAGAAGTTTATTTTAATCACCTTCAAATACAACTAATTAACAAATAAAAAGAAACTGCTGCTATATAATTTCTCTCAACAGCAAAGTGCCTAGATTTATACATGCCCTCAGATCTCATAATCTTTTTCATAAGACACCCACCGGCTGACAGCCAAGCTGTTGAAAGGGAATACATTTAGAACTATAGGACTAACTTAAAGGAGGAAAGTTAGAATTAAAAAGTGACAGGGAAAATGAAGTAAAGAACTCAACAGCATGGCAGCCACACAGACCCATCCTCAAATGGCAATTTATCATCATTGGGCACATTGCTCATCATATATAACAGAACAAAGAAACCCAATTCCAATATCAATTATCTTTCAACTTTGAAACCTGACTGCATTGTAAATACCAGTGGGTATAAGCAAATACCAACACCACACAATGAATAGCACATTATGTCAAAATTTAACACCTTAAGTAATCATTTGCTAATACCTCTCTTAATTCTCGGATTTGTTCACCCAAACCCCCAATTTCTGAGTAGTTGACTTTTCCTGGATCTTCTGTTGACATGTTGTACACCAAAGGATCAACCTCACGTGGCAAATGTCTGGAATAAGTGAGAGCCAAACACAGAATATACAAAAGAAGACAAATGTTTTTTTACTTATTTCAAAAATGTACTTTTATAACAATTTAAATGATTCTAAGAGTGAAAAAAAAACCAAACTTCTGTACACATGGAAGGAGTACCATTCCTTGTTTTTTATCAATTAAAATACATTAAGGTGTAAAACCCATTAAAATACCTCATAATGGTCAGTGTTGTCATGTCCAGTGCCACTCTGGTACCAGACTTAAGCTTAGCTTTATCCAGCTGTCTTCTACAACCAACAACATAGCGGGGTCCATTGGTGGCCTTCACAATAACTAAAAGTAGAAGGTTGACATATTATCACAAGCAAAATAGGTAACAATATTCCCACCTAAAAAATAGCACTAGTACCATGTCACCTCCCTGACTGAATGAAAGTATGTAATGATATTACTTAGCTGTATGGTTATTTTGAGGACAACTGGAATGTATATGATATCCCAAAATTATATTTACTGTTATATTCAAGTTTACATAACAATGCTTACACCCTCAGATCTCATAATCATTTTCAAAGGACACCCATCTATACATAACCTTAGCTGTTAGGAAGGAGAAAGGTAAGGAATAGTAAAAATTAAGGGAAAATGAAGTTTTTGCATGACAGGGAAAAAGGGAGCAAGACCTAACAGGTAAGATGTCGTACAGACTTGTCCTCAACAGGCAGTTTGTCATCATTGGGCAAAATGATTTAAAATGTGTTTATATTTACTATCAGTGCATTTCTAAAAATAAGTGAGACACAGACAATACTGACATACAAGACACTACTTACATTTATCCTCTGTCAACTGCTTCAACACCTCTCCAACAATCTGGCCAACACTTTGCAAAGCCTTCAGATCATTCTCTGATTTCTCATAATCTTTATTTAGCTCCCTCAGCTGCTCTCTCACTGAAAAATGTAGAAAAAGAAAATAATTTCCTTCTTCAAAATACGGCATTCAAATATATAAAAAACATCCTGAATGCACTTAGTATGTCAGCGTAAGTTTCCCACAAAGAAACAACTCTCAAATGATCACATGGGCCAGGCAACTTTAAATGTACACGATTCTGCACAGTAGTTTGTATCCTGGCAGGTGAAAATCGTGCATCAAGATCTGACCTACTTCACACATTTAGATGTCTGTTAATGGTGGTCTTCAAATACTGTGTGATTTCACAGCAGCATAATTGATAGAAGAGCATATGATTCTGACCTTATTCACACAGCAGTCAACAGCAAGACTGGTTGCTTTTTAACATTGTGGGACTAGGAGGTGAGAGGTGAGCAAATTATTTGACAGCTTCTGACACATATCCAAGTCGTCAGCTGGTTGTCATTTCATATTTATTTGCACTATTTTTTTTGTTAGTACATCATAGTTACATCCATAAATATTAATATGAGTGCTTACACATAAAACTTCATGCCAGATACAACCTTGAACATAAACAAATTTCCGATTATTAGTCTATTCAATTAAACTAACTGATGAATACAGTTTATTTCAATTTGTAAACTGCATTTATTGCGGGGTAACCAACTGTTAAAGAAAATATTTCATGTACTCAGTACCTGAGTTTATTTTATCAACCCAAGTCGGTTTGTGAGCGGGACCCAGTGAGCACTTCTCAGCCACGCACTGATCAGTTTTCACTAGTGCCACTGCCAATTTGACAAGAATCCATCAAAATGCAAAGTAGAAAAGGACTTTAAAACTATGCAGTTAGCACAGAGAGAAAAGTTGCTGTTCCAGTGGTGATTTTAATTATATAAATCAGAGAAAAGTAAAAAAGAAAATCAAATCCAAATGAGAGTCATCCAGGCACTGACATTTCGATTTGTCGGCCCATTGTGAGTCAGCACAATATCTCTATTCGCCGGCTTCAATTTTTGTCTGACTGCTGTGAATACTCTGACTCATAATCAGACAAAGAAAGCACGAATGATATATTTATCTAATACTTACTTTCTTTTAACCTTGCTTCAAGCTCTTTATGTTCCAAGAGCTTTTTTCTGTAGTCAGTTAAGGCTTTCTCTCGTGTTCCTTCGGTCGCCATCTTGTCTTGTGATAACGAGACTCGTTTTCTATGCCACCTAGCGGAAGAAATGGCAACGACCCGCCCATTGTAACCAACAGGCAGAAATTACTTATCCCCTGCCCCACCCCGAATCCCCACTTCGAAATTAAAAAAGGGAGGGAGATGTATGAAGTATACTTCAATTATTAATCAGGAGAAGTTGAAAATGAAAAAAAATGTTGTTTGCTCCCCACCTTAATGAAATTCGGCTGTTTAGTGAGGTGGGACGGGGAAGGCCCTAGCCTATATCGTCTGCTCTTGCACTTTATTAGACGCCCACATTTATAAAGCTTCATTCTACTCTTGGACCCATCATACAAAATATTTTAACGGCACAAGTTTGGGCTGCACGTTCTTCATATCATGTTGCAGCAAGAAATATTTTGTGAACAATCAAGTCCGTTAGGGCTATAGGCCTAAGCCTACATGTGTTTCTGGTAGGCCTATGCGTGATTATCACAAACCTTATGGATGATCTGTTTGAAACATGGAAACAAAGAGTTGACATCGATGATCTGGTAAAAAAATCTTTTTAGAACTAACATTTAATCGGACCCAAGTGTTAGTTAGCATATTCTTCTTCCATAAAAATCGGACAGTTCGGTGTTTTGAACAGTGAACAGTGAACGTAGGCTATTGCTATTCAAAGAAAGGCGGTTTTACGGAGGGCAGTAGGCCTATGGGCCTACTGAATTTTTTTAGGGGGCGGAATGTGTCAGAAACAAGTATCGTAAGTGTGGCTTTTTAGTGCAGGACTGTCAAGTCGCAATTTTCATTTAGACGAACGATACATCCATGTAGGCCTACGAGCTATTTATTGAGAATGAAATACAAATAACCAAACGGTTTAAAATACATATTGTTTGGAAAAGCAAGTTTTTCTGTGTCTTGCTTTAATCTCGAGGTGACAGTTAATGTCACTCAAATAATTCACAGTAAAACAATGATTAATATTAATATAAAGTGTGGAAAATGCAAATCGAAATGTATAGCGAAAAAAAAATTATATATCCATATCCGTGCACCTACTCTTCGTCCCAACCGAGCCAAAAAGGATCAATTTCTGAATGTATCGCATCAACCGGATTCGTTTGACAATTTATTTGCTTAGATTTTTTAAAGTTAAATTTTACTAACAGCTTATCGCGCTTTCTTTTCTTTCCCACGTTCATTGCTGTCCGAGGTTGAACTATGGTGTATTCACTCAACTGTGTTTTGGAGTCCACTGGAAAGTAAACAGTTTGAATTACTATTCTTTCATTTTACTATTATTCGAACAGAAAATAAATTATCACTGCATACTTTATTAAGAAGTATAAAAGACTGAAAGAATAGATCTAATATATGTCGTGCTATCGATGAAGTTTAAAGTCTTTGTTAAAACTACTGCAATAGACTTGATGGTTGTAGATAACTCTTTTTAAACTATATAGAATTAATTATTATCGGGATACATCGTCAATCTTTATCACAACAAAAAGCTTTCTATTTTAATCATTTATTACGCAATAATTAAATGTCCAAATTTACAAATTAGCACTGCCACAACTCGGACAACTGCATGAATGTCGTTGAAAGTCATGAAATATTTTAATAGATCTTATGTAATGGCTGTAGTATCATTTATTTCATATGTTTGTTTTTTCAGATGGAGAGTGATACACTATTTTTATCTACTTACTTATGAAGCGTCTGGCAAGTTGTTGCAAGCTATCAGGACATGCACGGAAATACGTTTCCGTTTTCGCTGCAAATATAACTTGAACTTATAAGGGTTCCTTACAAGATTCTGCAGAAATAATTAATACAAAATCCAGACGAAATGTCCCAAGGCTATATGTCTTGAGTAGAATGCTGAATATCAATACGTTTAATATAGAGAAAATCCTTTTAATTGATATTATTAGGAAAAACTTTTTTCATGAATATCTTAAAGAAAAGTCACGAAATAACTGCATACATCTAATACTGACCGTTTTGTGTAACCTGCATCTTCTGTCGGCCATTATCGATCTCTATTTGAAGCCTCAATGGTTTGCTCATTCCTGGCGACTGGTAACTTTCAATATTTTCCAGAGAGTTATCGCCTCCTTCATGTCCGGGTTCAACATTTTTCTGAATGTAGTTAGGGGACGTAGTCATTACAAAATATTCACTCGAGGATAGTGACATATTGGTGGAATTTTCTTCTCTCTGGTGACTTATTCCTGCTACTGAAACAAACAAACAAAAATGAATATGCTGTAAAATCATTAATTTCTCTTCCGATTTTATTACCTTCTCTTCAAAATATTTCTAATTGATACGAAATGTGAATGTCAACCACGATTGAATAAAAGCCGCTTTAAAAAGTAAAAAAAGCAAATAATATTAATTAAAATAACATACAACAGATATTTATTATTATTATTATCATTATTATTATTATCATTATTATTATTATTATTATTATTATTATTATTATTATTATTAATGAAGTAATTTCTCTTTGGAAACAATTTGATCTAGAAAGTAAGATATTTCTGCTTATATGAGTAGCGCAAAAAAGTAAAGGATGTAGCACTAGTAAAAATCCGTTTCTGTGCATACATTTTCAGATAATAGAAATATGAAAACGATAAGACCCAAATACCAAACCTGTTTTAGAAAATCAAAACTTACGAGCACAAATATTCTTATCGAAATTAAATGCCATAAGCCCATCAACATTTGGGCCGTAATCCCTGTTGAAGTCGTTTCCCTTCACAATCATATTGCTTGGTAATTCGCAGTTTTTGCAGTGATCCATTGGTCCTGTCAATGATCTTAATAGATTTACTCCTTTCTCCAACATGAATGTGTCACAAAATTTTCTTTGTTGTTGTTGCTAGGTCACCCAGGTAGTCATGGAAGCTTGCAAATGCAACCATAGAAAAACAATAATTACGTTTATATTATGCAAACTGAATAGCTTTCCTATTAAAATGTTGAATTTATAAGCAAAGCCGATACGTCCGATTTTTATTTATATGGATTACAAAAAAAAAAAAAAAGGTAGATTAACCGAATTTTGCTTTTTGTTTGTCCATGCCGTCTGTTGTCAACGTAAACTGTTTGACGTTATGACAAATCATAGTCTTTATGACGTACACAAGTCTCGTATTGTGTCTTGTTGTTGGCAATACTATTAATATGTTATTCGCCACAAAGCAGACCTATAGACCCTGTATTATGACTTCGACAAGTGGCGCTGTGCTAAAATTGTAATTCTCTATAATGCACACAAAACTTGCCACAAAACACGAAGGCTATGACGTAGATAAGTTGCGATGAGTCAGAAATTAAGCTTTTGTGACGTGTAGAAATATCAATCAAAGTCTTCTATGACGTAGACAACTCGCGTCGTAATTTTCTATGAAGTAAAGATCCTATTATAACGCCGACGAGGTTCTGGAGTCTTCAATCATTTATTCACCACTTAATTTTCATACAATTTTACCCATATTTATACTCTAATTTTCCGTACTGATCACGCGTGTAATTATGTTCTTTTTATTGTTTATGGCGTGATTTCCAGAAACTTTCCATTGTCATGTTTACTTTACCATAGAACATTCCCTTATTAGGTAATGTCTAAGAACCTTGTTTTCAACTAAACTCATCCAAAATACTATTTGCATTACTCATACTTGAATTATGTCCAAAACTTAGTTATCATGTGATAAACAGTTGATCAAAATTAAAATCTGTTATGAAATTGACCAATCACATAATTATTAAATGTTATTGACTTGGACCTTTTCCATCTTCTTCTGACACTAAAAACATGTTCTACACTTGTTGACACTCGATGAAGCTTAATTTGCACTCAATATCACTCTTACTTTTCATCTATTTGATTTCCCTTTTATTACTAATTGTAATGAGTGTAAGGGTAAGTAATTCACTTTACAACAATCCTACTGTGACGTGCAGAAATCGCATCGAGTCACAAGTGAAACTTTTATGACGTGGACAATGAACACGACGCACACAGTTACGTTATATTCTCTGGCATAGATCTAGACCTAAGCGTCTTTTATGACGTAGATCTAGGTCTAGTCTTAAAAGATACCCAACGCGCGCTAACAACGCAGTAGACCTTGTCGCAGAAAATTCGCGTTGTGAGATAGGCCATATGTGAGATTTAGATCTTTGCACTCCACTGCCCGAGGTCAGAGAATTGATTAAAACGGGATTCCTCGGATTACAGTTCTATGATGTAAACGCAATAGGGCATGGGGTGGAATTAGTTTTTCAACATGGAAGTACATGTAGATAAGTACAAACTATGATTTACTAAATTAAACAACCGAATGCAGCTTTTCACGTCTTTGAAATAACATTCTGATCACGTCTTTTAAAAATCTTCTCATGTATTCAAGAATTCAATTCGTAGGCCTACTTATAATTCCTCGTTTAGAGTTTAAACTTCAGGCTCTCTCTCCCGTTTTTAGAATTGTTGAGTAGGCCCATTGTGTTAAACTATGATACAACTTATAATGTTGGTGAAATAGTCACAAAAGCTCTCTTAGGCAAAAATCGGGATCTTTGCATTCCGTAAGGCAATTTTGTGAGCATTCCATTTAAAGATGAACATGAATTGCTCGTTTTGAAAAGTCACAAATTAAACGCTATTGAAACTCATCTATTGAAACTTTATTTTTGCCTGTATGTATGAGATTAATAGTGAACACAATACAACAGCCTCTATTTTCACAATATTAAAAGTAGTCTGAATGGCAGACTTGTAAGTTCTGGCTTATATTCACATCTTTTTTTTTTTCATTTACAGTGCAAACTGATACTGATGGTGAAATGTCAAGTCAGTGTACAAAACAATTACAATAGTCATTGTGCATATTGAAAAGTACAAAAAGTGGCAGTGATTTCACTTATGTAAAATATTTCAATAATCCAGAAAGGAACAATTGTTATACACAATTTACTACATTATGTAAACTTTTTTTACAAACACTCAAAATCATCACAGGAGAAAGACTGGTACAAAATCCAGCAGGAACACTATCATAAATAAGATTTTTAGTAAATATTCTAATAACACTACATTAAAATCTTTTGATTAGTGAATTTGTAAAGAAAATAATTATGATTCAGATAACGAAATACACTTGAAATTTCTACTAACATTTCTTGAAATACAAATCATACTAGTATTTTCTCCAAGAATCCTTTCTTATTGTAACTTAGCATAATTATGGCAATGTTGATGCAACATGCACAAAAGGATAGATGCCTGCCCTTTTAAGTGAACCTTCTTTACTTTGGACAACACAAAAATTTGGGGAATGAGACAAAGATACAGCAACTTCAAGTGCTACTTCTACATGTCTTGTAAGACACTTTGTAGCTTATGCCTTTTATTATATCAAACTTCTAATATAATATTAAACACATGATCTGAGGTTGGAAAAAAAACATATTGACTAATTGCATGTGTATGGCATGTAATAACCATAGTGACTTTTTTCTCATAGGAATAAAAAGCAACACAACAATTATACTGCTCATGGTTATCCATTTGTCTATCAGACTGGACAAACTGCCATCATCATTGGTGGTAAATAAAAGGGGGGGGGGGGTAGCCATGGGCCCCTTTCCTAATGAAAAAAATCTAGTAACAACGATTTTAAATTCATTAGACATCTGACTACTACAATACAGAATAACTGGAATGCACCCAGCCTTGCCACAGCTGAAGGACAAACCTTTCTCTTCAAGAAACTCTCATGTGGCAGCAATTTCAAACTTGTAAGCAGATACACGAATGAGAGTGTAACAGCAAGGTGGTAAGATACACACTTAAAGAATCTAAGACCGAGTGCACCTCATCTTGTGAGACTTAACATCAAACAAATTTATCTCCAGATCTGATGCTATGAATTTGCATACAATTGCTAGACCGTAGTCTTGCTTCTTGAATGAGATTTATGAGGAAAGCACTTACTATGAAACATATATCACTAAAACCTAATAATCATTAACCGTTTTAAAAAGAATAAAATTGGCATTAAAAAGAAGAAAAATTGGTATAACTTAAAGAAATAAACAAGAACTATAATATTATATTATGTAAGAAGACAGGCATTTTTTCACTTTCCTTCTTTGGCTTTTGAAGCTACTCTGTTAATCATATTATGATATATATCCAAGCAGAATAAGTTAAATATTCACCCTTTCCTTATGGTTTATATACAGATCTGCAAAGCAAATGGTAAGCAGAGGTATCTTCAATTTGACAATTGTCAAAACTAGAATAATTCTGATACACTGAAGGTGCAAACCATGCTTACTGAAGATTCAGTTCTCACCAGATTATGTCAGAATGAATTCATTTACTCAGACCATGCATTTCCAAATGACTACAAACAATCAACTGGAAGTTATTTTTGATGGGATGACATGTGAGTGAAATGCTGACATCACTAGAACCATGTTCAGAAAATCAATGCTTTGCCAAAAAATGTGTCATCTGGGGCCTATTTTACAAATAAACTCAAAACTGAGAGTTTCGGCCCATTCAGAACAAGTTAGATCTGTGGATTAACAGATCCATAAATCAAATATGGTCGCCCTTCTTAAAAACAATGCCGGTGAATCCCCTAATGGACTTCCTGCCTCCAACACAATTAAATTGTGGTTCAAAATAGAGCTGAAATTTAGTTGCTGTGGAAGTGTGGAAGGCGGGGAGTCCATTAGGAGATTAGGCAGCATTGCTTTAAAGTGGGTCGTCCATATTTGATCAATAATCTGTTAGTCCGTCGATCAACTTGTTCTGGAAGCGCCCTTAGTTTCCACCTTTAGAGCATCAGTTAGTCAAGCCTGACACAAGATAAACCTGCAGTAGGAAATATTATGTCTGTTATAGGAAGAATATAAGAACATGTATGTTTGAGAACAATATTTACTTTATTCTAGTAGGCTGAAATGTATTTAACCTGAATTGAGCTAGACCAAAATATTCTGGTCTAAAAGATTCTGTACACTGTACCAGTTAAAGTTCTATTAATCCAAACAGGATTAAACATAACAATAAAGCTCATGTATTTCATTCACAAGGTAATAACTAAGGTAACATCTATAACCTACCCACTAAGAAAAAAAAAGAAAGCATACTTAAAACATACTTGTATTAAGCATACTTGGCAATTATCTGATACAAATCCACTGCATACCAATTTTATACTAAAACTCCTTTTTTTATAAACTGTGACCTTAAAAAAGTATTAAGCTGTGTCCACCAACAGAGCAACCAAAATGTATACAAGTAGCACTTTAACTCACTTTTTTTCACCAACAACAGTTTCTGTACAAAATAGATATATAATTGAAAAAAAAATTGAAGTAAAATAAAATGTACATGAAACTGCTATGTATCTCCTTTCTTCATATACAGTTATAATGTAATGATTCACTGAATACATCTAACTAATTGAATTTGAGCAAATGAAATTTTGTCTAAACAGAAAAAGCTTTTTTAAATCAAACTATTCTGACTGTTGATTAAATCTGCAAAGATGAATAACACATTGAATTACTGTAAACAACAGTGCTGAACTCATGTGCATGTATAAGGCAGATAATTTCTTCATTTTAATAGCTATGTGACTGAATTATGCTCACTCGGAAAAAATTAGAAAATCCAGACATATTTTCCAAGTCTGTTTTGATGAGTCAAATATTTGGCACATTCACTTATGTGTATTGGCTTTCACAAAGCTTACAAACTTGCTGTTTTCTTGACTTAATAATACTGCTGGGGTGTCTTGCTCTATAACTTTTCCTTTGTCCAACACAATAATGGTGTCACAGTTCAAAATGGTAGAGACTCTATGCTGGAAAAGAAATTAAAATTTTTACTATTTTGCCTGTGTTACAAAATATCCTGAAAGCACACAGGTTTTCATCCAAATAATAATATTTATTACTTTGCAAAGGATGTTTGTCTTTGGTTTTCATCACTTCTGATGTTAGCAAAATGGTGTGTATGTAATGAGAAAGTTGAAAAACTGGCAATCAAGGAATGGCAAATTCATGTTTACACTGTGTAGCTCATATATCTAAACTATAGTCTGTTTCTAATTTGGCATTTACACCAAAAGCCATGTTCAACAACCATGCATCCTCTCTAAAATCAAAGATTGAAGATCAACTTACTGCTATGATTATAACAGTGCTATCCATGAAGACTTCATTTACCACCTGATGTATTGCTGCTTCAGTTTCCATGTCAACAGATGCTGTAGCTTCATCCATCACCAGAATCTTGCTGTGCCTCAAGAAGGCCCGCGCCAAGCAAAATAACTGTTGAAGAGCAAATATAGAAATGAATATTGTTTGTGAGATAAACAATCTATTAAACTTCACTTATGCATATATCAAACATTTTGATTAATAACAATAAAGACTTCAAATTCAATTAAGTTGTGGTAGTATAAGAGAGAAAGTGTATTACCTGTTTTTGACCTATACTGAAGTTATCTCCACTGTTAGACACCTGAGCTTCTGTAGTTATAGATCAAAAAGAAATAATAAGTTTTAACAAACATTCATTTTATGCACAAAGACTACATTTCTAAATGTGCATGACTCTGCTTTATTTTCTTCCTCTTATATAGGATGAGTTTTTTTTTGCCTGACAAATGCTTTATTAATGAACCAAATATACACCTGATGAACTTACCAAGTCCTCCTTCTAGATTCGTGATAGCAGTTTTAAGTTGTGCAATTTCTAGGGCATTCCACAATTCTTTATCAGACTTAGTACCTTCTGGATCAAGATTAAACCTGAAAATGTAAAAGAAAATGATTGAAAAAATATTTGAAGAAGTCATTTCTAGTATACTGACAACTTGATTTTAATCAAAAGTACCAAAATGATGTTTTTTAATTAATTTATCATTACGGTAGGGGTTCCAGTGCAAATGTTTAACAATTTCTTTTATAAAGATTATAATTTTTATGAACAAAAAGTAAAGTCTTATTACTACCAGCATGCTAATAACATAAAGGTTGATATACCGTCAAATTTACAGTCTGAGAAATACTAACCTGACAGTGCCAGCAAATAGCACAGGATCCTGAGGAATGATTGATAAACTGGAACGCAGTTTCCTCAGTGGGATGTCGGCAATGTCTTCTCCGTCTATGACTATTTTACCCTGACTAGTCTGGATGATCCTGAACAGGCCCAACATCAGAGAGGACTTGCCACTCCCTGTTCTACCACATATACCAATCTGGAGACAGAGAATGGGGATGGCTAATTGTTTGATAAAATACATATTACAGTATTTCCCTCGATCTTTTCAATTGGGGAAATTATTAATTTTACAGACAATGCATTTTTTTGTGTAGAATTTCTTAAAATAGGACATTCCTATTGAGTGGAAGAAACAAAATTAAACGAGGCAGCAAAGCTGTCAAATGTACAGACAACAAGAAAGTTAAATTGTACAATCAAGCTTGTTTAGGACTGTCTATTACATGGACCCAAATTTTGTTACAAAAGAGGCTTTTTACAGATTACTTTAATTTTTGTTGAACCTTGTCATCAACCTAGCTTACTGCAGACATGGCATCTCATCTGCCACAACATAGGCAATAAGAACACCAAAGGAACATGGCTGCATGCACTGCTCTCTTACCTTCTTTCCTCCCTGGATTTGTAAGTTAATGTCTCTGAGTACAGGCTCTAGGCTGTCTGCATACTTAATATGAACATGGTCAAACTGGACCTCTCCAGCACTGGGCCAGTTCTCTGGCAGTTTGGGACTACCTGTGATACCAAATACCAATGTAAAACCTTTCTATTAGACAGCAGATCAATACCATAGAAGCCACTGTATGAAATCATGAAATTTGGGAAGACCACAGATACAGCTACTATGGCAGCTTAAAAGGTAAAGAAGCATTCAGGATTTTATTGAAAAAATTATGAAATAATTTTTCAAATGTATGCTGTCAATAACTGACAATAAATGGGACCATCCATAAAATGGCATTTGGTAATACATATATTTTGTGAAAATAATTTTTTTTGCCACTCATTTTTTCTTGACATACATGGTCAATGAACTAGTTTCATAAAGTCATCATACCTGTTTGGAGACAGTTTGAAGTACTTCCTTATAGCCAAAGGCGAGATCAGCAACAGACGGGATTATATTGTTTAAAGGGATAATAACTCTTCGCACGAGAACTATATTTCACAATAAAAACATTGTGATTAACTCATAGAAATATAATATATTCTGTTTTACCACAAAAACAGCAGTTATAGCTATTATTCTGATATCTTAGCTTGTCTTCAGATCACGTGACCTCCATTGACGGCTATACTCTGTTATAATCTCTTAAGAGATTTTCACAAAAAAAACAAACTTTTAAGAAAAAAACCAGGGACTAACTTTGAATGTAAAAATGGATTCATTAACCATTGGTTAGTATGGGAAAATTGTTGTTTACTCCAGAAAAATTCATTTTTTGGCCAAAACGAAGAGTTATTATCCCTTTAATGTTTCTGTTCTGCTTTAAGTGATTATCTTACTTTTCTGTCTGACTGATTTGTTTCAGAGCCAGTCAGTTCTGTAATAATCCATCTACTGAAAATCACCCACCTTGAGGTGCAGAGTAGACCTCACTAGTTACATGTGAATACTGGTCAACTCTTTCCACTGCATTCATTTGCATCTCTAAATCTGCTGTGCTGCTCAACAGCAAGTTTAGCACATTAGATATCTGAAAGCAAAGGAATATTCTATAATATCCGATCTTTGTATTTTTCAGTAAAAAAATTCTCTTAAAAATGTCACGGGCAATTGTACGATTCTTTCTCCACATATAAACATGATCTAGATAAGGTCTTATTTTGCTGTCATGGACACACACACATGCACACACACACCACATGCACGCAAAGTTAAATTACAGTTTATGAGAAATTGTTTTCTTCTTCATATACCATCACCGATGCTGCAATTACTATGCCATGCATTCTAAATCTTAACCAGTATTCATCATTAGAAAAAGCTGTATACTGCACAAACCAGTTTTTTTTTTTTTCAATTTCCTTTCCACATTCTTTTAGAAATACATGAGGTCCATGATCACATTGATAACAAGGNTCCGATGTTAGCAAAATGGTGTGTATGTAATGAGAAAGTTGAAAAACTGGCAATCAAGGAATGGCAAATTCACGTTTACACTGTGCAGCTCATATATCTAAACTATAGTCCGTTTCTAATTTGGCATTTACACCTAAAGCCATGTTCAACAACCATGCATCCTCTCTAAAATCAAAGACTGAAGATCAACTTACTGCTATGATTATAACAGTGCTATCCATGAAGACTTCATTTACCACCTGATGTATTGCTGCTTCAGTTTCCATGTCAACAGATGCTGTAGCTTCATCCATCACCAGAATCTTGCTGTGCCTCAAGAAGGCCCGCGCCAAGCAAAATAACTGTTGAAGAGCAAATATAGAAATGAATATCGTTTGTGAGATAAACAATCTATTAAACTTCACTTATACATATATCAAACATTTTGATTAATAACAATGAAGACTTAAAATTCAATTAAGTTGTGGTAGTATAAGAGAGAGAGTGTATTACCTGTTTTTGACCTATACTGAAGTTATCTCCACTGTTAGACACCTGAGCTTCTGTAGTTATAGATCAAAAGGAAATGATAAGTTTTAACATACATTCATTTTATGCACAAAGACTACATTTCTAAATGTGCATGACTCTGGTTTAAAAATTAATGCAATCTGCTTTATTTTCTTCCTCTTATATAGGATGAGTTTTTTGTCTGACAAATGCTTTATTAATGAACCAAATATACACCTGATGAACTTACCAAGTCCTCCTTCTAGATTCGTGATAGCAGTTTTAAGTTGTGCAATTTCTAGGGCATTCCACAATTCTTTATCAGACTTAGTACCTTCTGGATCAAGATTAAACCTGAAAATGTAAAAGAAAATGATTGAAAAAATATTTGAAGAAGTCATTTCTAGTATACTGACAACTTGATTTTAATCAAAAGTACCAAAATGATGTTTTTTAATTAATTTATCATTACGGTAGGGGTTCCAGTGCAAATGTTTAACAATTTCTTTTATAAAGATTATAATTTTTATGAACAAAAAGTAAAGTCTTATTACTACCAGCATGCTAATAACATAAAGGTTGATATACCTTCAAATTTACAGTCTGAGAAATACTAACCTGACAGTGCCAGCAAATAGCACAGGATCCTGAGGAATGATTGATAAACTGGAACGCAGTTTCCTCAGTGGGATGTCGGCAATGTCTTCTCCGTCTATGACTATTTTACCCTGACTAGTCTGGATGATCCTGAACAGGCCCAACATCAGAGAGGACTTGCCACTCCCTGTTCTACCACATATACCAATCTGGAGACAGAGAATGGGGATGGCTAATGGTTTGATAAAATACATATTACAGTATTTCCTCGATCTTTTCAATACGGGAAATTATTAATTTTACAGTACAGACATTGCATTTTTTGTGTAGAATTTCTTAAAATAGGACATTCCTACTGAGTGGAAGAAACAAAATTAAAGCTGTACAGACAACAAGAAGGAAAAATTATACAATCAAGCTGGTTTGAGACTTTCTATAACATGGACCCTGACTTTCATCACAAAAAGAGGCTTTTTACAGATTCCTTTAATTTTGTTCAACCTTGCCATCAACCTTACCTACTGCAGACATTGGCTTCATCTGGGTTGTCTCATCAGCTATAACACTGTCAATAAGAACACCAAAAGAACATGGCTGCATGTACTGCTCTCTTACCTTCTTTCCTCCCTGGATTTGTAAGTTAATGTCTCTGAGTACAGGCTCTAGGCTGTCTGCATACTTAATGTGAACATGGTCAAACTGGACCTCTCCAGCACTGGGCCAGTTCTCTGGCAGTTTGGGACTACCTGTGGTACCAAATACCAATGTAAAACCTTTCTATTAGACAGCAGATCAATACTGTAGAAGCCACTGTATGAAATCATGAAATTTGGGAAGACCACAGATACTATGGCAGCTTAAAAGGTAAAGAAGTATTCAGGATTTTATTGAAAAAATTATGAAATAATTTTTCAAATGTATGCTGTCAATAACTGACAATAAATGGGCCCATCCATAAAATGGCATTTGGTAATACATATATTTGTGAAAATAATTTTTTTTGCCACTCATTTTTTCTTGACATACATGGTCAATGAACTAGATTCATAAAGTCATCATACCTGTTTGGAGACAGTTTGAAGTACTTCCTTATAGCCAAAGGCGAGATGAGCAACAGACGGGATTATATTGTTTAATGTTTCTGTTCTGCTTTAAGTGATTATCTTACTTTTCTGTCTGACTGATTTGTTTCAGAGCCAGTCAGTTCTGTAATAATCCATCTACTGAAAATCACCTACCTTGAGGTGCAGAGTAGACCTCACTAGTTACATGTGAATACTGGTCAACTCTTTCCACTGCATTCATTTGCATCTCTAACTCTGCTGTGCTGCTCAACAGCAAGTTTAGCACATTAGATATCTGAAAGCAAAGGAACATTCTATAATATCCAATCTTTGTATTTTTCAGTAAAAAAAAATCTCTTAAAAATGTCACGGGCAATTGTATCGTTCTTTCTTCACATATAAACATGATCTAGATAAAGTCTTATTTTGCTGTCATGCACACACACATGCATGCGCACAGACACACACACACACAAAGTTAAATTACAGTTTACGAGAAAAATTATTTTCCTCTTCGTGCGCCATCATCGACGCCACAATTACTATGCCAAGCATTCTAAATCTTAACCAGTGTTCATCCTTAGGAAAAGCTGTATACTGCACAAACCAGTTTTTTTTTTTCAATTTCCTTTCCACATTCTTTTAGAAATACATGAGGTTCTTGATCACATAACTATTGCATTGATAAAAACTACAAAAAGTCATCTTACCATAACTGCATAAGCTATAGCAAGGCCCACAATGCCTGGGTCAGCATTTCCAGCTAGTCCTGCTGCCTGGGCTGCTACAGCTGCTATGAATATTGTGACAGCACCAAGATAGTCCTGACAAAATAATAGTGAATTTAAATTAATATCAAAATATGGCAGGAGCATATGTATGTATGTAAGGTGATCAAATGTATGAAATTTTTGGCTTAACACTTTCACTTGATCAAATAAGAGGGAAAAAAATTAATCTATAATGCTAGACTTACAAACCAATAAAACACAGATTCGACATTGTGATCAATACCACCAATATTCAACAGTGAAATGAGTGTCACTGACTTAATGGGCTAGTCACCTGACAAGTAAAAAAATAAATAAATAAATAAAAAATAAATAAAATAATAAGAATAATAATAAAATAATTATAATATTAATAAGTCTTGGAATATAGTGCTGAACCGAGACATTCCAAGCACCTAGGAATCTTCGTAACTAACAGCCATTAGCTGCTACTTACCAGGCGAATTCCAAACCATCTGTTGGCACTTTGAAGCCAGAGGAATGCTGAATTATTTAAATCTATTTTCTCTGCTAAGTTGCACCAAAACCTTTTCTGGTGTCTTGAAAGAAAAAGAATTCAATAAGACAGTCTCTAATGAGTCAGAAAAACTTTGATTATCAAGAAACAATATGCAAAACATTAAGCACATAACAAGATAGGGATGAGTGGTTCCTTCATTTTGAGAATCTGTCATTTCCATTCATCAAGCACTTTATTTCAGCCTTGCCCTTTAGAGGTTGTGCTAATTCTCCAAGTTATCCAGTCAAATGATAAACTTCTCTCTAAAAGATGTCAGACTGATTACACTGACCTTTGAAACAGTGTTCTGAATTAACGTTTTTTGGAATGAAAGAGTTTTGACTGTCCTTTATTCAAGAACATACAACTCTGCAAATAACAGAAAACAACAGCAGAAAGCACTGCATAGTTTGCCTACCTAAAGGCCCTTATTGTTGCTAAGCCTCCCATGGATTCAGCAAAATGTGCAAAAATAGGGGATTTGGATAAATTGTCTAATCTCATGAGTTCCCTAAAAGAAAAAAAAAGAAATCTGAATAGCACTATGCAATACACACAACTAAGTGACAATCAAACTGAATATTCAGTAAAATTTAGAAAAAATGTCAATTTTTCTTTGCTTAATCAGTAAAATTTAGAAAAAATGTCCATTTTTTTTTTTTTTTGCTTAATCAGTAATTCAATCTATGACGTAGAATTGGTTATGATAGCACAATAATCGAATCTGTTGATAAATAAATAAACAGACAGGTTAATGGATTGAGAATTTATAATAATTGGGTTTTCTCACCGCATGTTGTCATCAAAAGAACACTTAATAGCAATTTAATTATGAATATGAGCCTAATGCTTTGAAGAATACATGGAGAGGCTAATAAATTTAAGGTGTCTCTACATTACACCCTACATTCACAAATATCAAAATGTACAAATCTACAAAACCATACAAAACAAATAACACACCTTGCTGATACCCTAAAGAACCTCTGTATTACACAGTAGATCAACACCAAGGGAGCAACTGCAATTAAGAAATATGGTGTTGCCAAAGAGATGGCTACTATAGCCGCAATACAGGTTAAGATCTGTGTCAGGACGTTACTGATATAAAAAGAGATAATCTGAAATAAATGAAAGGATATTATATAACACTGAAGAAATGTGAATTATTTGATATCAGCAGTATTGTATAAGTGGAAAGCACTTGTTTCCTAATAAGTCTACTGAATAACAAGCTATAGAAAATCACTCATTACTCATATCACTAATACAGAACTCTCATCATGTGGAGAAAGTAAATTAAATCTTGTTCTAAGAAACTTTCATCACTTATTGTATAACAACACATGTATATTCATTTGATCAATAGTGTACTTGATTACCTTACCTGATCTAGCTGATATGTGTCTGCAGCAAATCTGCTCATAATCCTGCCAATGGGAGTAGTATCAAAAAACCTGTAAGAACAAGGGATATAACAAAACATACATACTGATGAGATCTTTCCGTCTCAGTTGAGGTACTGAATACTATTTTATTGAACTATTTTTGACAGTATATTGTGAAGATTATCAATAAAATAACAGACAATAATCAAGCTGTCCTGCAATAAAGTCAAACATTTCACGAATTAAATTTAATCGGAAGTGTGTGTGCGTGCGTGCACGTGTGTGTGAGAGAGAGAGAACGACAACAAGTCTACGTTTGCATCTCTTCTGTAGTAATATTACCAAGTGTGTATGCATGAGTGTACCTGTGTCTTGTGTATCATCAAATATTACAAACAATATATACCTACCTTAATGGAGCTAAGATGAGATTGCGTAACATGGACTGATGCAGATTTCTTGCTGCATACAAGATTGTGAGTTCCACAGTGAGTGATGCAAATAGCACAATAATAATACTGACTGCAGATAGGATGGCATACACCATGACATAGTACATGACATCCCTATCTGTTTCGCCCTAAAAAGATTAAAAGTAATTACATCTGAGTTTCAGTCCACCAATGCAGTACAAATACAAGGCATTGTTGCTGTAACTTTGATGGTGAAGCATCTCTCCTATAACCACTATGGTATCACATTTAAGGGATGGGACTCAATTGCTAAAATGACATATTAATATTTTTTCCACATGTTACATTATGATTCTACCCATTAGGCACACTCAGAATCTATCAGTCATTTTCCATGCAGTACCAAAGTCACTTTGTCAAGTACCGACAAATATACTTACTGTGGAAGTGGGAGAGCTTGACTGATTGTCACCAGGTAGCACCAAAACATTGGGCTCTACTGAGGCTTGGTACCTCAATATATTGTCTCTGCTTAAGTTTTTGGAAACTAGTGAGTTATTCATCTGGTCACCAGCCACTGCCCATTCTGCTAGCCAAAGGTCGGTGGCCAATCGTAAGCCCTGCTGTAAAATTTTCAGTAGAAGAACTAGAACTGAAAGGCCCCAAGAGCAGGCACTAAAAAAGGCAAGGTGGGTTTTCAGTTTGATTGATCCAGTTTCTTTCTCTTCCTCTTCTATCAGTTTGCCTTGTTTGCACATCAAGGGTTCTTTGGCATCTGAAAGAAGTTTTTTCTTTTGTTTTAGAATTAAGAACCAAACATGTTTTCTTCGTTATATGTCATGGGATCAGCAAAATGCAAGCTGATGTACAATATCAGGAATTTACAATAACATACATGATATACTTTTCTGAATGCTCGTAACGAATTTCAGAAAAATTCCAAACAACAACGATAATGGGCCGAATCCATATCACATGGACACAATTTACACTACCCTGCTGTGTGGACAATGGTTTGATTGCAATTAGAATGCTGATGTCACTAAGAGCCAATCTACTACATTCAATTTCAGTACACCACGAAAGAACTCTAAGGGTTCATTCCAAATGAACTTAAAATTCTAGATAGATCGATCCAATTCCAAGGGGAATTTTGCTGAACACAATCAGATTCATATGCCTCCAGCTTTTCTTTATTCTTCACAACACCAGGAGGAGGCGTGTTAGTCTGTTAATCTCACTGAATTCAGCAAGAGTATCCCAGAGTTGGATCGATCTATGTAGAAAAACAGTTTCATTGGGAATGTGCCCCAAGCCTGCTGCAATCTTAAACAGGTACCCACCCTTCTCTTCTTCGACACATATCTCTGCCAACGGTTCTAACTCTAGACTTGATGTGCTACCAGACACTCTTTTGGCTGCCTCTGCAAGGTCCTCTCCATAAGTATCCGTAGCAACCATACCAGACAGAGGTACAAAGGCACCTAGCATGTCTATACCTGAGCTTCGAGAAGCACTGACGGGCTGACTAGCATCCGTTTGCTCTAACTGAATAGAAAAAAGATGGCACTGAGATGGAGTAAAATATCTTCAACAGGGGTGGATTTAGGCCGTCTTCTGGGTCTTCGGGAAGACGGTCAGATTTTCAAGTTTACATTGACGGTATCTATTTTTTTCTGTTGGAAGACGGTCAAAATTGGAGGATGAATCAACAAAGATAATTTGGAAGACTGTCAGTAAATATCTCTGGATCCGCTCCTGTTCAAGGAGTTTTCATATCTTTGTGTTACTGCACTTATAGCAATATCTTCAGATACAGACCAGGGTTTATTATAGAAAATGATGGGAGACTGGAATATAAACTTGATGTACTGTGTTTATGAATTTTCCAGTTGAGTACCTAATGTGTGTTATGAGAGGGATGGACAGATGAACCAACTTGTACATTTTAAACAATTTTCATTATTCTACATTCACATATTCTTTAATGCTTTAATTGACAAGTAGAACCTACCCCCTCTTAAGAAAAAAAACAAGAAAAAAAACAATTAAGTACAACACATTTTTGTTATAAAGATTAAGGGCAGGTGAGAACACAACATCATTAGGCATCTACTTTGTATCATACCTGTAAAGTAGGTTTCGTTAATCTCTGTACATCTGGAGCACCTTCCTCAGTTGTAGTTTCATCTTCAGCCCTAAATGGACAAATTTCAAAAAAAAAAAATTCTTTAAAAAATTTTCTTATAAAAAACCAACACAGAATTTTTTGTTTTATATATTAAAAATGTTGTACAATCATATTTGCACTGATTTCAAATTACTGAAATTCAAATTTAAATTGCTTTTCAAAATTCAGTAAATTATTTAACATTGCAATATACACCATGATGTAAGATTTTAAATTATAATAATTGTAATATCATTTAGTAACAGTTATTTTCAATCAAATGCATATTATGCAAGGCAACAAACAATAGTAACAACACATTTTCCACTGGCATATGGACTAATAAGAATTTTCTTGAAAATATAATACTGAAGTGATCAAGCTGGTTGGCAAGGGATCCTAAAAACATTGCCATCTCATCCAGTACTCGACAACTTCTATGCATATTTTTTTTGTTTTGTACCCAGAAACTAATCAATATCATATAGCCTATTATGGCCTCTAAGACTTGTTTTGAATGTATGCTATAAGGATTTTGACACCAAAGGTTTGGATTAGTTGAACTGGTGACCGTGTGAATTATCCTCTTAGTGCAGGGGCAAAAACATTCATCAGCTTGGTATAGATGTAGTCAAAAGACCCTAATTTATACAAGAGTAAGATCGCATTCACAACGAGTTGAGCCATGGCTTTACAAATCCTGGAACTAAATATGGTGGACGTACATGAAAGAAAAACCGCCTAATCTTTTAATAGTCTCTCTGCCTCTCACACGCCTCCCCATGTGTCGTCCCAATGGAGCCGAGATTTAATGACCGTACCCCAGCAGGGACGACGCATGGGGAGGTGTGTGAGAGGCGGAGAGACTATTAAAAGATTAGGTGGTTTTTCTTTCATGTACGTCTGCCATATTTAGTTCCAGGATTTGTAAAGCCATGGCTCAACTCGTTGTGAATGCGATCTAAAACGTTTATGAAGCTGACATGTTAGTTTACAGTCAATCTGGTCAAAGACCTGTACGGCATCAACCAAAATTGGCTGTTAATTGAACGTAGGCTTGGTAATTCTTTTGTTTTTGCTTAAATAACTTTGGCTTTTTTGTGCATGTTGTGTGGATTTGTGGCAGACTGTTGTGGTCTAGGTCTAATATGTGGTAATTGTATAAGGTTGTTTGCTGTCATTCAACATCTCATCCTTCACAAACAAACTCTGACTGCATGTGTTAGTTCAACTAAACTACCAGTATAAACTCAGGTAACCCTTTTTCTGACAAAATGGTTTAGAATGCTGCAAATTTATGTGCTGAGTATGCACAAAAGGAAATACTGCAGTATTGTGAATTTCAACCATCCATTTGATCTTTTATCTTTGGGGTGCTTTGGAAAGGAAATGTAAGTCAAAGAGCTTTAAAGAATATCTAAATCACCTTTCTTATTTGATCCCACATATATATACAAGTAGCTGAACAAAAATAAGCAGATAAAAGACTTAAACATGACCCATATAACGACAGCATCACACTGCACACTTTTGCAGACCAACCAGAAACATTTTGTTCATTCATTTTAACACCATACAATTAATATATTTTTAAAACCGTTTGCAGCAATATATTAATTATACTTTTTGTACAAGTAGTACAGTGACATAAAGTGTGAACTACTCATGGCAGTCAATTGGGCAAACCAACAGACCATATGGAGTTAAAGACTGGGTTCCCATGCCTAGATCCATCTAACTGGATCGACCCATCTCCAAGGGGTTTCTTGCTTTTAGCTTAAATGGCTTAGATGTCTGGCACGCCTACTGAAGCCTTTAAACTATAGTTAATTACCCTTTAACAGCTTCAGTGGGAGTGCGAGACATCTCAGCCGCTTAACTTGATAGCAATTTAACGAGAGTCCCCTTGGAGATCGATCCAAAGTTAGTACGATAGTCTCTGGAAATGGTCTCAAAGATGTCCACCAACAGAACTCAGCAATGATGTTTAGTATCAAACCCAATCAATAAGTAGACCATTTGTTCCAAGAAGCAGACAGACAGGATTTATTTGCAAATCAAGGCATCTGAAATGCTAATAAAGACAGTCTAACACAGCAGGTGTTGTCTGCACTTTGACAGTAGGCTATCAAACCAAAGACAAAAATAGCAGCAGTTGTACCTGAGGGCAAATGGCATAGGAATCAAAAAACCAACTTCAGAATCATGCAAACATTTTCAATGAGAAATTCCTAACACAAAATTACTTGTTTAATATAACAGTCAAGATACTGACCAGCTATTTTGCAAGATAGGAGATTTAGTATCAAATGATGGCCAATTTAACATTTTAACAAGCTTTACTTCAAGGTAGGACCGGTTGAAAGGTCAAGATAGCAGGTAATTTTTTACTAGGATCCAGCATTGTGTTGGATACTAGTTTTTCGGTACTGGTGTGTGTCCACATCCACTCAAAAGAATGATCTATGGACACCAGTTGGATCAAAAATTTGTTGCCTCTGAACAAAGTGATGCCACTACCCATTTTGATAATTCACTTAAAACTGATCTGCTTGACTTGCTAGTCAAATGCCAATGTTACGCATTAAAAAAAAATGGACATCTTTGGTTATTTCTCAGCCAAGCTGGAGTAAACATGACCAGATAAGTATATTTCATGCCCAAATAAAAGAGTCTCCAGTCTATACCTCTGCTCTTCAACAGTTGCTTGGGCAATGCCAGGGGCTTTGAAACCCACCCTGACACCACTGCTGAGGAAGAGGGACTTTTGTGACAAAGGTGTGCCCAGCCCAAGGTTTGGTTTGCCACCTGCCCTTGCAGGACTCAACACGGGGCAAACACTGGAGCTAGTGGAGCTGGGTTTATTACCAGCAGCTTTTTCCAACTCCCTGAATGCAGCGAGGTGTAATTCTGGACCAACACGGCTTCCACGATTCCTATGTACATAAGTGAACGTGTACATAATAATTCTGCTATTTATCTTGTTATCATTTGAAAATCTATCTGTGATCTGATACTTCTACAGACAAACTTTCTTCCAGAAATACACATAATATCTTCACTATGTATCAAGACTGCCACTTTACAAGGTTTGGGATATACAAGAAGCAAATTGTTCGGGCTTAACACATATTTTTCAGACTAATAAATTTTTCCATCAAACATCACTGAAATACCAAAATGATTACTGAGGTTTTGATGCCAAAAGTAGAAAACTTATCATCAATGCACTTTGTAATATTTCATGGGATATCATAAATCACTTCAGCCAGTGTGTGTAACATCAGTGCACTCTCATAAATAATGAAATCATTTGAATGTTAATTCTCTAAAATTGATTCTTTCTGTCTTGTGATTCTGTTGGGCATCAGTCTAAACTACTTCCAAAAGCTAAGGTGCCTAAAAGAAGATATTTTACAAACATGTATATCCACACCTCACGCAAGATTAGGTTCCACGTCTGCTGATGCTGTATTTATTTCGGATTCATCAAGAATCCAAGAAAATGTTTTTTTTCCCTTATAAAAATACATAATTTCAAAAATTCTGTTAGGTTTAAAAGACAATGAAGAACTATTCTCCACTAAAAATTAGGAAAATAAAACATCAGAGATGGTTTTACATGGTGGGTCAGGGGACATAAATGCAATACACGAATATATCCTGATAAATATGAAGGACCTTCATCTCTAACAAAAAAGCTTGTGCAACTTCACAATTCTCTCTCTCTCTCTCTCTCTCTCTCTCTCTCTCCATGTGCCCATTCACTATTCTAACCTTGTTTTCTTCACTGTTTCCTTCCAGCTTTCATATAGTCCAGAATCTTTCTCTTGGATTTCATGAAATGTTCCAACATGCTTAACAGCACCTTCTTTCATCACCACAACCTGAAAAAAATACTCTTCATTTCATGCAGTCTAATTTTATATGCCAACTGAATCTGCATGTCTTTTTATTAAAATTATATGGCAATATTCTTTAATATAATAAAAAAAAAATATAGATTTATGATACAGTGTAAAAGTTTCATCTTTTTCATTAAGAAATTAGTTTTCATAAAAAAAAAATTGTTAAGTTTTTATTTGGGATGTGAGGTTGGGATGTTAACCATTACATACTGTAAAAAATCCTGTCTAGATTTGAAGAATGGATTAAGTTATTGTGTCACGAATTCACTGAATTACCTGACTAGCATGGCCTAAATACTGCAGATGGTTTGTCACTATTATCACTAGCTTCTTTTTCTTCCTGATGAGATATTTTAGTATGCCATCTTTGAAAACCTGACGGCCAACACGAGCATCCAAAGCAGATAAAGGGTCATCCTGGAAGTAAATGAGGACATATTGCTATATCACATCATCACATGGAGTTCATTTAAAAAAAAAAAAAAAAACTCATGTCACCAGTTGGTCTTGATTGTAAAAACATTTTAGAATTAGTAAGATCCAAGAAAAATCAGTGGTTGTCAAATAAGGAATTTGAGCAAATTTCACAATTAATAAGAAATCACGTTTATTTAAGTAAAGAACCAAGAATATGTTAACAAGTAGACCATGTTAAATCTTATTTGGAAAACCAAGAATGTTGTGTCCAATAAGCAATAAATTGCTAAGAAAACAGAAATGTTTATAGTTAGTTTAAAATTGTCTTAAGATCTCTGGAGTTGGACTAGATATTATATGCATATGTTGGCTTAATACTAGTAATGCTCAAAAACCTCTAATCATGGCTGATGTTTTCATAATATGACAAGTGGATTTTTCCTTTTGGGAAGTTAAGCTACATGGCTAATACTCTTACTATAATTTTTTAGAAAATAAGGCAGATTAAACTGAAAAAAAATATATATATATCTATATATATAATCAATACATAAATATATAATCAATACATAAATAAAAATAATGATAATTTTTTCTCCATTTTATAGTTGGAAAAAGCATATTACTTTAATAACAAAAACCAGTGACTTATAATTATTTTCATTTTTGTGTCTTTGAGGCCTATTTTGCTATTAAACACAATCTATCTGTTAAATAGATTTTAAAAAATAACAATCATTAATGGCCTGGCACAATGAAGCCAGCTAACATGACCTTTTAGCTATAGGCATGAAACAAGCTCTCAGTGCAGACTCCTTCAGACTTTCCCTCTTCATAAGCCACCATTTACCATTTAATGAACCTGAAGCCAGGTAATACAGTCTCTTCTTCCAATTACTCTGGATAAATGCCAGCTTATTTGCCTCTGTCCCAATTTTCATTGCTTGTTAACTGCAACATTTCTGTCTTGATGTACAATGGATTGTTTATTGCCTGTCAATTAGCTTCCATATCTGAACATGGCACTTAATAACTTTCAAATGAAAGGGCAGTTTCTTGGTATTCAAAATATAAAAAAAGGTCATTTTATTTCCAGTGCTTGTAGCAATCTGCTTAAGGGTCATCAAGCTAAAAAAATGTGCATGCCATAATTGGATAAGGAATATCCAAATCATATTTAAACCGGATTGGGTTCACCAAAAGGCTTCATCTCAAACAGTCATGATTTGGATGATAAAATGTTCACAAGGCCAAAATGATAAAAATTTAGACAAGAATTATTGAGGGAAAATTATTGAAAAACATGTTGAGGAAAATCAGACCATGCCCAGTATCTAATTTGACCTGGCTTTCAAGACAAATAGTTATTACTGCCGGTTTGAAACAAAAAATAAACTTAACTGCCCTTTTACTGCAGTAACAAGAAATGATCACGGTACCCTCAAAACCGCAATCGTGGCTCTGTGTCTGTCCATAAAAACACATATGATATTAGCAGCAGCAATAATGACTTTAAAATCAAGTAAAAAAAAAACTTGGTTTGAACCACCACAAAAGCTATAGATTTTACCATGATTACTGCATCTGCATTGGAGTAAATAGCCCTGGCTATGCTGACTCTCTGCTTCTGTCCTCCACTCAAATTGGCACCCTGCAGTGAGATATTGCACAAAACAAATCAAAGCATTTTGTATTAACATATAAACAGCATGAATAAAAAGCAGTCTGGACTGTATTCAACAAGCTTACTCAAACTCAACTAAAATGTAGCCTACTAGTAGCAACATGTTTAAGAACCAAGAAAATTTATCTGTAAGCAAATTCAGCCAAGTTGTGGAAAATAGTATTCTGACTTATTTCTGATAATATCATATCCACTAACTTTGAATGTTGAAATGAATTTGTTATTCATTGAAAAGTTTGGGAATGTTGTGGTTTACCCCAGGAAAAGCCGTTTTAAGGCATTTTCCTGCCAAAATGAACAGTTGTTATTCCCTTTTTAATTGAAAAGGCACCACAGGACTGCACATGCTTTTTACACAGTAAGATATTTTATGCTGGTTATTGAATTAAACAGACATACAATCATCATTATAACAGCACTGAAAAAGGTTCTTCTCAGACATGTTTTTCTATACTATGGAGTGACATTCTGTTTCAGCAAGACTGAGCTGTTCCAATTTATTCATTTCCACTTGAAGTGTAGTGTCAACAAATAAACAGATTATGCCTATTTCATATTTTTTTCATTTGGTACAGAGTTAGAGATGTCTACAAAATAAAATAATACAAAATAAAAATACAATAAAATACAATAAAAACATCACACACTCCAGCTTAATATCTACAAATAACGTGTGTAAGTGCGTGTGTGTGCCCCCATGTGCGTGCATTGGTGAATCCACATATACTATTGATACATATTGAGAAATACCATATAACAAATATCTACTCACACTTTCTCCAATCTCAGTGTCGTCTCCAGCAGGTAAACTATCCAGGTCTGGTTGCAGAGCACACATTTTGATAACATGCTGATATCTAGGTAATATACAACAGAATATCTTCATTATTTAGTGTGGTAAGTTTACTAAAACTTTATAAATACTTTAAATATGTATGAAAAGAAATATGTGGCAAATCTTGAGTTTTCTCTATCAAATTTGTCTTTAACCNAAAAAAAAAAAAAAAAAAAAAAAAAAAAAAAAAAAAAATCATGTCACCAGTTGGTCTTGATTGTAAAAACATTTTGGAACTAGTAAGATCCAAGAAAAATTGGTGGTTAATTGTCAAATAAGGATTTTGAGCAAATTTCACAATTAGTAAAAAATCACGTTTATTTAAGTGAAGAACTAAGAATATGTTAACAAGTAGACCATGTTAAATCTTATTTGGAAAACCGAGAATGTTGTGTCCAATAAACAATAAATTGTTAAGAAAACACAAAAGTTTATAGTTAGTTTAAAAACCATCTTAAGATTTCTGGAGTTGGACTAGATATCATATGCATATGTTGGCTCAAAAACCTCTAATCATCGCTGATATTTTCATAATATGACAAGTGGATTCTTCCTATTGGGAAGTTAAGCTACATGGCTAATACTCTTACTATAATTTTTAGGCAAATTAAATTGCAAATATATATATATATATATATATATATATATATATATATATATATATAATAAAAATAATGATAATTTTTTCTCCATCTCATAGTTGGAAAAAGCATATTACTTGAATAACAAAAACAGCGAGTTATAATTATTTTCATTTTTGTGTCTTTGACGCCTATTTTGCTATTAAACACAATCTATCTGTTAAATAGATTTTAAAAAATAACAATCATTAATGGCCTGGCACAATGAAGCCAGCTAACGTGACCTTTTAGCTATAGGCATGAAACAAGCTCTCAGTGCAGACTTCTTCAGACTTTCCCTCTTCATAGCCACCATTTACCATTTAATGAACCTGAAGCCAGGTGATACAGTCTCTTCTTCCAATTACTCTGGATAAATGCCAGCTTATTTGCCTCTGCCCCAATTTTCATTGCTTGTTAACTGCAACATTTCTGACTTGATGCACAATGGATTGTTTATTGCCTGTCAATTAGCTTCAATATCTGAACACGACACTTAATAACTTTCAAATGGAAAGGCAGTTTCTTGGTATTCAAAATATAAAAAAGGTCATTTTATTTCCAATGCTTGTAGCAATCTGCTTAAGGGCCGTCAAGCTAAAAAAATGTGCATGTCATAATTGGATAAGGAATATCCAAATCATATTTAAATCGGATTGGGTTCACCAAAAGGCTTCATCTCAAACAGTCATGATTTGGATGATAAAATGTCCACAAGGCTAAAATGATAAAAATTTAGACAAGAATTATTGAGGGAAAATTATTGAAAAACATGTTAAGGAAAATCAGACCATGCCCAGTATCTAATTTGACCTGGCTTTCAAGACAAATTGTTATTACTGCCGGTTTGAAACAAAAAATAAACTTAACTGCCCTTTTACTGCAGTAACAAGAAATGATCACGGTACCCTCAAAACCGCAATCGTGGCTCTGTGTCTGTCCATAAAAACACATATGATATTAGCAACAGTAATAATGACTTTAAAATCAAGTAAAAAAAAACTGTTGGTTTGTACCATCACAAAAGCTATAGATTTTACCATGATTACTGCATCTGCATTGGAGTAAATAGCCCTGGCTATGCTGACTCTCTGCTTCTGTCCTCCACTCAAATTGGCACCCTGCAGTGAGATATTAAGCAAAACAAATCAAAGCATTTTGTATTAACATATGAACAGCATGGATAAAAAGCAGTCTGGACTGTATTCAACAAGCTTACTCAATCTCAACTAAAATGTAGCCTACTAGTAGCAACATGTTTAAGAACCAAGAAAATTTATCTGTAAGCAAATTCAGCCAAGTTGTGGAAAATAGTATTCTGACTTATTTCTGATAATATCATATCCACTAACTTTGAATGTTGAAATGAATTTGTTATTCATTGAAAAGTTTGGGAATGTTGTGGTTTACCCCAGGAAAAGCCGTTTTAAGGCATTTTCCTGCCAAAATGAACAGTTGTTATTCCCTTTTTAATTGAAAAGGCACCACAGGACTGCACATGCTTTTTACACAGTAAGATATTTTATGCTGGTTATTGAATTAAACAGACATACAATCATCATTATAACAGCACTGAAAAAGGTTCTTCTCAGACATGTTTTTCTATACTATGGAGTGACATTCTGTTTCAGCAAGACTGAGCTGTTTCAATTTATTCATTTCCACTTGAAGTGTAGTGTCAACAAATAAACAGATTATGCCTATTTCATATTTTTTTTCATTTGGTACAGAGTTAGAGATGTCTACAAAATAAAATAATACAAAATAAAAATACAATAAAATACAATAAAAACATCACACGCTCCAGCTTAATATCTACAAATAACGTGTGTAAGTGTGTGTGTGTGCCCCCATGTGCGTGCATTGGTGAATCCACATATACTATTGATACATATTGAGAAATACCATATAACAAATATCTACTCACACTTTCTCCAATCTCAGTGTCGTCTCCAGCAGGTAAACTATCCAGGTCTGGTTGCAGAGCACACATTTTGATAACATGCTGATATCTAGGTAATATACAACAGAATATCTTCATTATTTAGTGTGGTAAGTTTACTAAAACTTTATAAATACTTTAAATATGTATGAAAAGAAATATGTGGCAAATCTTGAGTTTTCTCTATCAAATTTGTCTTTAATCTATTTTTATTAAATAGCAAACTAACAATGATCATATAAAACCAGGAGGCTTTTACAGATTAAAGAAGTGTTTGCTTTGTTCATAGTTCCAATTACCCAAATTCCTATTGCAAGGCATATTAGTACTAAAAATAAACTTATCAATCACAGGCCTCATACATGATAATTGCCGTTTGCTGTCACGATTCTTGGATTTGGGAGCACTAATGCCCAAATAAATGGCTTGAGCCACAATTTCAATTCACAAATGTAAAATTGGTAGCCACAAGCACAGCGTCAAAAAGCATAATCGATTTGGCCAGCTTTGAACCAGGGTTTTGACTGTAAACATAGGGCTTCCCTTACTCAATCCAAGACTATTTTCAATACAGTGGAAGATATGACAAACAGTACATTAGAGCTTTCAGAGATTCAGTAACTCTTTCAACCAACTAACAAATATCTGTTTTCAGGGATTTACTTTATCATTAGAAAAAATAAAGGAAGAATAAATAAAAATTCTCAAAACCAATCAAACTAATTTAAAAGTATTCCTAAAACCTATTATCCATACCGTGTATTAATACAACAGCAATGCACTCTTAATCTCAGGCACATAGGAATCATACCATTAGGTAGGCAAGCAGATTTTCAGTTCTTGGCTGCTAATTTTACATAAAGTCACTACTTAGGGCATTCATGCGCACAAATTTGAGGCTCGAGTTTGCAAACGGCTTATCTGTTTATAAGGCCTGAACCAGCAATATCTTAACCTTTATTAGACAACTCACTTCAAATTCTAAAATTCAATAAGAAAAGTTTAACAAAGTACCTCTTCTTTTCAAAAGGCCTCCCAAACAGTATATTTTCTTTGAGAGAACAGTTTAGCAACCAAGGACTTTGGGAAACATAGGCTATGCTTGTTTTCCTGAAATTTAGATGTATCTAGATCAATATTTTTGTTCTTTCTTTAAAAATCTTTTCTCTTCATTTTATTAAATATTAAATAATTATTGACTTTGGCTTCAGGTTTGCAAAACAACATACTGACTAAAATTTGTGTCTCTCTAGATCAACCTTTTCATTTTTTTCCTGTGTTAATTTCTTAAATTCATTGTTATTTATCTAATATTATATAGTTATTGACCTTGGTTAGGTCTGCAAAGCAACATAAAGACTGGAAGCCAAAATCAACAATCCACAATATTATATATTTAATCTAATATGTTGACTGTCGTTGTCCTACAAGAAAACAGCGAAATGTCACAGGCCATTTTTATCGACTGACTGGCCATTTTCATCGTCTGACTGATGTGATTGGGCAAATAAAAAGGCAGTTAAGAAACCAAAAATCAGGAATAAACAGAAAAATCACATCCCTGTCAGACCTTTAATTTCCAAATATACAATCATATTCTCTGCTAATTATATAATAAAATTATCATTATTAAAACAACTTAATATGAAATGAAGAATTGTAATAGGATATATGTTATTTATTTTTTCTCGAAAACAAAAGAAAAAAATAATTCAGTATATGTATTAATGGTCTATGCAACATGCAAGGTACACCTGAAACCATTCTNTAAGTTTCAAGCCAAAAGGTAAAATGGTTTTCCACTTATCGTGTTATCGGTGCTGCATATATGCTGAAAAAAGTGAAAAAACAGCATAAATTCCATATAAGTGACCCGATCATGCTGATTTTCGAACTCGACCTGCGTATTATGAATATTCATCAGTTCTGTAAGTTTCAAACAAAAAGAAAAAACAGTTTTCCACTTATCGTGTTATCGGTAAAAGTGCACGGCGACGACGGCAACGGCGACGACAGACGCAGATGACGGCTATATGTACAGACACATCTGTGTCTGTACATAAAAATCACATCCCTGTCAGACCTTTAATTTCCAAATATACAATCATATTCTCTGCTAATTATATAATAAAATTATCATTATTAAAACAACTTAATATGAAATGAAGAATTGTAATAGGATATATGTTATTTATTTTTTCTCGAAAACAAAAGAAAAAAATAATTCAGTATATGTATTAATGGTCTATGCAACATGCAAGGTACACCTGAAACCATTCTTTGTTTATAGACTAGAATTTACTGGTCATAGTGAATCTGATCAATGCCATGATTCTGTATAAATACTTACTGGTTCCACTCCACACTGCCTTTCACTAGACACATCTCACCCAGTAATGCAGAGAGTAAAGAAGACTTCCCACACCCCACTGGACCAACAACCAGGGTCAGCTGTCCTGGAGAAAATAAATACAAAAGTCATCATCACAAACCAGTGCAAAACCATGATTTTTAATTTGAATTAATGAACTGGAAGAAAAAGTGAATATAAAAAGTGAAAAATCCATATGAATTACAACCCAAGCATTTTCTACTTTGACATTAGTTAATTTTAATATTTCATATTTCAGGGGGAGGGGGCATTTATGTTATACAAATGAAATTTTATATAAACATTTCCATCAAAATTTGCCACATTGTAAACACATAAAATTTCATCAAATTTATCTTAAATTTCTATGCAGTGGATTTTTTTAAATAAAGTTTTCTTGACTGTATTTTTCCTTCATTCTAGAAATGGCATATTGGATCCATTTTTTCTAAAAACAGTTATTCTGCATACATACGAATAATGAAATTTCACCTAGTAATGCTAGTATACACAGAAAATGCAGTGTAAAAAAATTAAATACAAAACAAGAAAGTCATACCTTTCAAGAATCTGATATTGATGTCTTTCAAATTCACCATTTTCTTGTCCGTGTCCCATGAAAAATCTGCATTTCTGATTTCCAAAACAACAGGGCACTTTTCTCCTCCATCATCTTCATCATCACTGCTATGAACCTGAACACTAACTTCTTTTGTCCTACTTTTGTCTTTGGGAACTTGTAAAGTTTCAACAGCCAGTTGTGATTTGTCTACCTCCTCTTCATCCTTTCTTAATGCTTTATCCTTTAATAGTTTCTTTGTTTCAGCTAACTGCTTTTTATTTTTTGTTTTATCAGTCTGTGTGGCATGGTTACATATTTTCTTCTTATTTTTTCTAAATTCTACATGCAAATTCTTGTCTTTTGCTGCTGGTTTCTTATTGCTTATAATTTGCACATGCTCTAACTCTGCAGGTGATTGTGTAATTTGATCATCAGCTTTTGGAGACATCTGCGCAACTGCTTCATGATTTTGAACACTGGGAATCTTGCTCTGAATGAAAAAAAAATTATGTATAAATGCAGATAAAAATATTTCCAAAAGCAAAAATCAGGATTCATCACTTCAAAAATATTATTAACCCACACCATTTTGGAGTATTCAGTCAGGCAAATTATCTCAGACTCAGAAATTCTCGAAATTTACAATACTGTATTCTTATAAAGAAGGTTTTGAATGAAATCTTTCCATGAAAGCAAACACAAGCACACAGGGCTCATTCCCATACAAACTATCGGTCTACGTGGATCGATCCGACTCTGGAGGGATTCTCCAACCAACATGCCTCCTCTTGTTTCCAACTTACTCATATAATCACCAGCTTTTCTGTCTCCTACTCAAGGAATAGGTGTGTTAATCTCTTAAACTGATTGCATTTAGCCAGAGTCCCTGTGGAGTTGGATCGATCTACATAGACCAATACTTTCAATGGGAATGATCCCATAATCACTTGCCTACACACCACAGCTTACTTCAAGTGACTCACCATTAAAGCTCCATTGGACTCACTACTTGATGAAAAAGCTGGCAGAAATGCTGCCTCCACTTCCTTAGCAAATAAGAACTCCTGTATTCTCTTCGAGCTGATCTTTGCCTTGACCAGGATGTTCACGACCAGTGGGAACATGTAGAGAGGACTGCTGATCATATTGAACAAGGCCAGGGAAGAGAATGCCTTGGCTGCAGTGAGTGGAACACTTTCTATGTATGGATACAGCAGGAAGGTCTAAATAGACAGAAACAAAAATTACATTTGTCTCTCTGTTGGAAAAATTTGACTTCATACAAAGATGGTGTATCAAAAACTTTTTATTATGCCAAGAATAATATTTGTATGTCTTGGTGGTGGAAAAAAGCACTCTTTCACTTTGGAAAATAAGCATGAAAATAACAAAATGAAATTGTACAAAATTCTTTTTCATTTTATTGTTTTACCTGTCATGGAATTCAAAGCTAGAGCAATATAAATATGCCTTGGTTCCAGTTATAGTCTCCATCTCCATACAAGCGAGAATATTCTCTCTAAATAAAAGCGCATACACAACAGCGGACTCAAAGATCTGCAGATCAAATATGGCGACCCACTAAAAAGCTTGCCACTTAGACCCCATTCCCATAGATTTTAGATCGATCTATCCCTGTGGGGAGTCTCACTAGATTACTGTCAGCTTAGCCGGCTTAAGGGAGTTAGGTCAATCTAAATCTAAATCTCTAGATCGATCTAAATCTCTGGGAATGCACATTTAATTCCTTATTAGACACTTAATAGATTTCCCACGGAGATTTAGCATTCCAGTGGGTCAGCCATATTTGATCCGCTGATCTGTTAGTCCGCTGTTCTGAATATGCTCTAAGTAGTATCTCAAGAATTGGGGATCTTTTTTCAACTCGAGGGAACCAGTCTTGGCAGACGCAGCTAAGATTCCAAGAAGTAGCATTTTACAAAGGATCTAAGGTGAGTTTGCCTTACTTCTTTTATCTTAAAGCTAAGTCTGTGGTCGGAATTTCTTTCTCAACAATTTCATCCACATCAGTGACAACTATTCAGGCGTGTCAAAGGTTGGCTATCTGAGTTTAGCAGACTTAGGAGAGTTCAAAAGCTTTTGTCATTTTGTAAAACAGACTAATGGTAAAATGAGTCATTTAAAGATTCTGGGGGCAAGGAGAGATAATCCAAGGATCGACAAACATTTACTTACCACAAGCATGAGGATGACAGGGCCTGCATTTGTTATAAAAACTAAAAGAAAAAAAACATTGTCAAATGTGATGCATAGCATCTCTAATCTGTTGTTTTTTTTTCATACCTTATAATGAAATTTAATTTACATTGTATTTTCATATTTTCAAACCAGATTTGATTGAATGAATATATCCAGGATGAAAACTTTATTTCTTTTTTGTTTTCTTCACAAAAACAAAAGAAATAAATAGATCAGAAAATTTGTTGATAAAATCATGGCAACTTACATGCAATAGTTTTGAAAAAACAAGCTTTGAGCAGGAACTTGATTTCTTTTTTTCTGATTTCTTCAACCTGCTGAGAGAATACCACTTCCCAGGCATAAAGTTTGAGAAGTTTGATGGCTTGAAAAAGTTCACTTATTCTCTTCAAACGAGTATCAGAACATTGCTGAAATAGGTACAGTTTAAAATAAGAAACTCACAATCTTTAAGAATTATTATCAATACAAACTATACTACCTAGTGGTTTTGAGAGGCATTAGCCATCTTTATCATACATTGACCAAACTGCCAGGGAAAATACATTCAAATTAGGAAAAAATAAAAAATAAAAATAAATAAATAAATAATTTAATAAAATTTTAAAGGAAGAAGAAAAGAAGAAGATATTCAGCACTCTGAAATTTTCAGCTTACTTTTAAAACAACTGCTATGGTAAAACAAAAAAAAAAGGCACCAATGTGAATAACATGTTTTGACAATAGTGAAGCTTTTACATAGAGCATACTGCAGTTAACAAGGAGATTTTGCTTATAATCCAATTATATTTCAGCTCTCTATGTATTCTGGCTGTCTGGTCTAATGGGAAATATACCCCCCTGTGAATATATATCAGTGACATAAGCTCACAATAATTAATATCCTTATTTAGGAATTCAGCATAGGAGATCAATTAAAACTATGGGTGAGATGGGGGGGGGGGGGGGGGGAAAAGATTCATTACCCCCTGTATGATTAAAATGGAAACTGGCACTGTTATTTTGCTTAATGAATGCTGAGAGAGCAACAACATGTGCATGGTGAGAATAAAACAATGCATCCATAAATGCAGCAAAAGAGACCATCTCACACTCAATGTGGAATGAGAGTGAAAATACACACAATGAGAAAAGAGAACATAATAAAACTTACCATGATATCTTGATTTATAAATGCAGCATATGATGCCACTTTATACTGTATTGGGGTCAGTATGAACACCACACAACCACCAATCACTGCACTGTAACCCATTTGGCTGTGCAGCATTATCAAGCACAGGATTACCTAGAAAAAAATGCAATCTTAGAAATGTCAAAAGTGTGGACTTTACTCTAGAGATTCCTTAATAATATTTTCTATGGATACATATAATAAGTATCCTTTCTGGGAAAAGCCTTATTTGCCCTTATAGCACTCTTACTTAATCTATATCAATTATAGAATTGAAAATTTGAATGTTTTAAAACAATGTATCCACTGACATCTTTTATTTTAAAAATCTCACTTTAAGTAAAATTAAAGGGATAATAACTCTTCGTATGAAATCTGTATTTCACAATAAAAACATTGTGAGTGACTCATAAAAATATAATATATTCTGTTTTCCCACAAAAACGGCTGTTATAGCTATTATTCTGATATCTGAGCTTGTCGTTAGGCCACGTGACCTCCATAGATAGCTATACTCTGTTAAAATCTCTTAAGAGATTTTAACAAAAAACCAAACTTTTTAGAAAAAAACCAGGGACTAACTTTGAATGTAAAAATGGATTTATTAACCATTGGTAAGTATGGGAAAATTGTTGTTTACTCCAGGAAAATTCATTTTTTGGCCGAAACGAAGAGTTATTATCACTTTAACATACCTTGACAGTTACAACGATACACCTGGCATTAGTTACATCCATATAAATTCAAAAGACAATTACTTGTGCAGGGTCTAATTTGTTCCAATTATTATACAAAACATAATATGATTCCGCCATTCTATGTCTATCTTACCAATAATGGCATTGCCCATACGTGGTGAAACAATGAGAAAGCCATACAGATGATGCTGACATCATTGGACATGTAGTTTGAGATCTGTCCGCTCGTTATCTGCCCACTATTAATTGGACAGCTCGACAGCTGTAAGGTCTTTTCATAAATCATTGCCTGTGAAAGGAAACAAAAACAATAGGAACTTATTCCTGTGAAAGCCTACCACTTTTTATCTATAAGAAGACACCGAGTGCACAGTATGTATTACAGCTCTTACTAACTGTTGTTTCAAGGATATAAAAATACACTTATACATCATAATTCTATGGTGGCACATTTCACATAAAAGGACACACAGCACAATGGAAGATAAAAAGTGCTGGTACAATTTGGTAATAATCAATTCTTTATAAGACACATATCATGTTGTGCCATACTGTTATTCACAGAAGGAATGGTTGTATTCTAATAACATTGAGAAATAAACTTGATTGAAAATTGTTTTTTTTTTTCTTTTGGATTAGCACTGTTCATTGATTGGCATTTTACAGTGCCCATAAAAATTTAATTTATTTGCCCAAAATATAAAAAAAAAATGCATTTTGATAAGATTTTCAATACTAATTCCACCGTGAGCTTCCTAAACAAGGTCCACTTCATCAACACAAAGTTCATGACAAAAAAGCCTTTTGACACTTCAGCACGAAATAATTTTGAGCCAAATCTATTTTACTTTACATATCTTTATTGAATGAAATCTATTAAAATTAGCACCTTTAATAATATGGTTCACCTTTTCCAGGAAAAACAAAGTATTTCAACCATACATGTTAGCAACACTCCAAATTACAGTAGGCTACATTCAACAAGTATTGATTTTGACCTACTAACCTGCAGAGCTACTTTGATTCTAGCACCTTCTCGAATAAGCAGAAAATGAGAGTTCTGCAAGAAGGTGCTCATGACCAATGACGCCAGGAACAACAGCATAGCCAGCACATAACCATTTGTGACAAATTCAGCTGGTGAAACATACAGGTTGTGCTAAAAAAAAAAATATATATATATATATATTCTTTTCTTCAAAATATGACATGACATTTCTAAGTAAGATGTGAAAAGACTAAAAAAATTCATCAAGTCTGGCTGATAGAAAACCATTTAATTTCTACAGTGACAATATATAATTAGCATGCAGCGTGGGTGACATGCAAGCTTGACCTTTCTCATATGTCCCACTGTTATATTAATTCCAAGAAATGATTCTCTCACAAAAATAAGAAATTAAAGAAGTCTTTGAAACACCATCAGCAATAATTAAATAGCTAACAGTCTACACTAAACAACAGACTGCATCAGAGCATATCCATGCTTACCATAACTATGACAAAAACATGAATTCTGTTTTAAAATTTGATTCGCTGATTACACTATTTTTTCTCATATGTAAATCTTGCTCCCATCTAATTAGGTCATTTTACATCACATTTCTGATGTCTACATACAATTCAATTTCGTTTATCTATTAGGCAGTGATAACAGGCACGTAACTCTGCCTTACATCTACCAGTTATTACCCTTGTTTGCAAAATAACAATGAAGTACCTGTGGACGTTCTAAATCTAAAGTGCTTGATGCTGTGCTATTATTTCGAATGGCTGGATTTTTCATTTCACTGGCTCTATCATTCTCCACAGTAACATAAGTCACGATGCCACTTATGCACAAAGGAGCTGCAAATTGGAGCAGGTCGCCCGCCAGCCTGAAGAAGCCAGACAGACAAAGCATAGGCCATGTGACTCGCCCATAGCAGTGGATTAAGGAGAACTTGTCTTGTTCTGACTCAGACTTAATCTGCAGAAAGAAGAGGAAGACATATAAAAGCATTCACTTTGCAGATATCAGGTTGCGGTCATATCAGAATTATCTTAGATCTTAATTAAGGAAATTAATATCCCAGCATGATCACAACGCATAACAAAAGACTGTAAGGTTAAAAGAGAAGCAGGGTTCATGTAGTAACTTTGTACACTGCCAACTTCCATTAGTCTCAAATTAGTCTATTACACATTCAAGTCTATTCTGTTGTGAACACAACAGATGAAAGCATGAAGTCAATCTTTTTTATTCACAACATCACTAAGTCAATATCAAATATAATCAATATGATTATCACTATTACTTCAAGATTGACTGATAACACGAAGTGGGGTCAGATAGAGAACATGAAATAGACTGACAATTGTGTTAAAACTATGACACTTTTTATATGTCCAGATAATTTGCTTGGGTAATTAAGGTTCACTACAAACATTTACAGATAATTATATTAAACTATTTTTCAATATTCCATGATGTTTGCATTGCAAATGAAAATACTAGTACAAGGTAATGTCTATGATCTTTTACCTTTTGTCACAAAAGTGTAGGGATAATAACATTTCTTGCCTATAGAATGTGTGTGCACACGCGCATGTGAATGTGTGAGTGACAGATTTTTGTATAATCTGGGTCTAAAATTTATTTGTCATAAAAAGTGGATCAACAGCACTGTTCCATAATACCCTACATATAAAGACCAGTTGTGGTAATGAGCAATTTCAGCAATAAGAATTTTGTTGTGTGGTTCTTTCTTGTTATTTGGCTGCACATTTCAAGTACACAGTGCAAACAATAATAATAATAATAATAATAATAATAATTTTATTATTATTATTATGAGTATCATTTTTTACTCATCCTCCAAACCATCATTTTCAGCCACTTAAAAACATGTTCTTAAATCATCCATGAAAAGTAACCCATTACGCAGTTATGTCATACTTGAGAGTATTAATACTGATATATATCTAAAAAAAAGTGAAAGGTTATAACAACAGCTTTTGGCCATTAGCCATGGCCTTGATTACTCTGATGTAAAATCCTGATAACCTCTTTTATGGTGGGAACTAGGGAAGGTCTGTCTGTCTGTCTGTCTGTCTATCTATTACATAAAATGGAGTGGGTAGTTGGTACCTTTCCCCACTTCCGTTTAGATGATTGCTTCTGCATTTCAGTTAGTTTCCTTGCCTAAAATTTGCAAAATCTGATCATGTCAAAAGGGCGTCTCTTTTCTAAGTAGCAGGCATCAGTACCAGTTTTAATACTCTCATATCATTTAAGTAATCCAAGAACCTATCCTTCTTATTCACTGACCAACCTTTTCTGCCTGGAACACACTCTTTAGTTTCTTATAATTGGTCACTGTCCACTCAGCCTGAAGTGATCCAAAATCATGATGACATTTATGTGAATATTTATCAACAGTTATTTGATAATGAATAGAAAATGATGTGTTCTACATTCAGAATGAATAGTAAAACTTCTACTTTGGGATTGCATAGCGAAAGCAAGTTAAAACACAAATGTATCATCTTTAAAATTCGCAATTTGTAAGTCAGTAAAATGAAACTCGCAGTAATAGTGTGTGTGTGTGTGTGTGTGTGTGAGAGAGAGAGAGAGAGAGAGAGAGAGAGAGAGAGAGAGAGAGGGAGGGAGTTATGCCTTACCTCTGGCAATTTTCCAAGGTCTTTTAACTCTAGAGGTTTTTTATAACCTTTAGATAACAAACGGTTCATCCACCAGTAGGTACACTGAGATAGAAAGCTGGCATAGCTGTAGTAGTATCTGGTTCTATGTAGCTCTTCCGGGGGACTCAGGTGCCGCTTCCTTTTGAAACAGACATATCTCTGAAAAAAATTATGTGATTCTTTTACTCAATAACCTAGTCTTAATTTTAAAAAATTTGTGCCAATGGCACTTAAATTTGAAAGAAAATAATATTTGCTTTTCAATTATTGTCATATTTGCTTTTTGAAGATAATTTCTTGACCAACAGATACAGGCTCAAAATGGCTTTGCAAAAGCATTACCCTACTGTAGTCTGAGACTATTAGGATAAATATTTATAGTTAAATAGCCTTTGCATATATTATCTAATGCTATTGTCAAAAATATAGACCATATTCCCTTATTATCCCCTCTTCAGGAAGTTTCATCAAAATTACACACACACACACACACACACACACACACACACACACACACACACACACACACACACACACACACACACACACAAAAAAAAAAAAAAAAAAAAAAAAAAAAAAATCTAAGATATCATGTGCCAGAAATTAACAGCCATTGAAAAGGTTAAAAAATTTCCATCCCAGTGCTATTTGATAATACTTACCTGGGCAAAAAGCACATATAATTCAACGCAAATCAAGAGGAAATACACTATTATGACATCCCACTGCAGGTCGAACCTCAGTTCTCCAACATTAAGGCCTTTCTTGAATAAGGAGGCAACTTCCATGGACTTTGTGACCAGAGCGGTCAGCCAATAGAACATCAAAAGGAGAAGAAAGGTTGGGGAATTCCATGCTTCAATCTTCTGGTAGTAGACAATGGCAATGACAGCTGCTACCACACTGATACAATGAGGTAAGAAAACATGGAGGCGAAGCCCCGCCAGTTTGCCATCCGAGACTAACCCTTCTCCTATCTCCAATATGTTGAACACAATGAGGCAGATGGTTAAAATCCAGCGAACGGAATGCCCCTGGAAGTGCACCCAAGACGTTGTACTTCGATGGCCAGAGTCATGCGATTTCCACAGGATGATAAGAACGGGAATGGCCAGTGTGACAAATAACGTGTGGGGCACAATGGTCAGTCCGTCGACAAAACACTCGTTGGAGAACAACCCCTCCTCCACGCTGTAGTGGGAACCATTTGGACCACAGAAATCCATTTCAATCCCAGGCAGTGTCAGTCCACCATTAGGCAGCACAGTTTTGCCGCATTTGTGGCCTTGGGTGACTGCAAGGAGAGAGAGGATTTTCTTTCAATATATGCCAATACTTTGCTAAAATGGGCAATAACATGTCAATTTTCCAGGTATAATTTGATCAAATAAGCTGTGGCTGATACCTGAAGTGGAGTCTTCTTACTTCTCTGTGAAGACCACCTATCATCCCAATTAAATATATATTTTCATAATGTATTCTTTAGTAGACTCACCATGGCTGTATCCATTAAGGCAACAATAACTGTACAAAATTCGACTGGTCACTGATAGTCACCAGAGCTCCCCATCCTAAACAAGCCTTTTAAAACTCAGATTTCAATTGTCGAGGGCATGTAACAGTGCAAGGTGTGTGTGACATATATATATACAAGATATTAATGCAAGGCAGTATGGACGTCACAAACACCTTGCTGACAATTAAGTAGTGTATTTAACTGCTACCACAGTGGATGTCAAGTGAATGTGTGTACACGTATACATGTTAAACTATAGTGATGTTCTTTTGGTGTACAATAAGTATAAACATATTTTATCATATTTTATCCTCTATTTAAGATTATATGGTCTTGTATTATTTCTGTAATATTTTGTACTTAAATCACTGCAGCATTGGCTGATGTATTTTATTACACTGTATCTACATGACACACCTCATCTGTGTCATTTGTTCTGGACACTTGACATGGTATATATCGACTGACATGTTTTTAAACAGACTTTTAAGCTGTCATCAAATCAATGTTAAATAAATTAAAATGTTCAGTCTTTAACAATCAAACTGTCAATCATTTTCTTTCAACAAATGAAGTTTTTAACTTTAAAAAACTTGTTAAAACTCTAAAATAAAATTGAATAGCTTTGATTGTAACGTGTAAAGATTTATCAAAAGTGACAATATCAACATTCCTCTTAAAGTAACACATAAAGTAAGGGCAGATTGCCAGTGAAGCATATATAAATCAATACTAGTAACTTTTATATGACTCATATTAAGTGTATATGCAAAAGAATAAAGCGCAACACTTGGTTAGTAAAAAAAAAAAAAAAAAAAAAAAAAAAGCTCTAAAACTGCTCTTTCTTCAGAATTCTGATCAAAACTTGACTTATTTCTCGGTCCCTCCAGTTTGTAAAAATCTACCAAATGATGTGGTAATGCATGATGATGACGCATCACTGCTGTGCCTGCCATAGCATAAGTATTCAAATGAGATTTGGAAAAAATGACCAAAGGATATATGTAGCTCAGAAAGAAAGCCGAAAATATCTGTTCAAATATCATTTGAAGGTATTTATGAAACGATACCCTTTGGTACTTCTTTAAGTTATGCCATTTAAAACTACATGATGGCATATGGTTGGGCTTAGTGGCAATGAGCTGACGTGTCAACTCACTTCAAACGATCCTTAATTGATTCAGAACAAAATTATTTTTACAGGTACATGTTTTATGTTTATTCTATTTCAGAAAAGAATAAAGAGTATTTACTGAATCAATGAGAACACAGCTCAGTCCCCCTCCATAAAAATGCTCGATCCTTTCATTTGGCTGCTATCCTTGTTAAACACATGTGTACAAAAAAGAAAAATTGATGGTGTTGATGGATAACTATTTCATATAATACACCACTTCCCCATATTGTAAAGATGATAATAATTTAGAATCAATCACTCCCCAGGGACAACCAAACCCCCGGGTGCAATAAAATTCCTAAGTTTTCATGCACATCCTTGATGATAGGTCTATCAATCCCAAAAGTTTCAATTTAGTAACACACATGGTCTAGCAGTAATAACAATGTAAAAAGAATTTAGAATCAACCACCCATCTTGGACAGTCCAAACCCAGGTGCAATTAAATTCCAAAGAACCCATGCATATCTCTGACAATATCAATCCCCAAAGTTTCAACTTTCTCACGCTAATAAATAAACAGTTTCTCTACATAACAAATGGAATAAAAGGAGAAACTTGCCTTTTTATTCTGCATTTATACAACCAGTTCTTCCTGCATTAACTTTGACAAATTCATCTTGCTTGCTGAAAAAAATTGTAAAAAATGAATTTATAGGTTTTCCACTTTGGCTTTTTGTTTGCAACAAGAAATACCAGTCAGCGTCAAGAGTAATTCACAACAGGGAACTTTGTATTTGAGATGAGCTGCATTCCTTCATTTCACATCAAACTGTAATACAGTTAATCATTGTCAGTGTGTCAGATCATATTGAATTTTAGATGTGAAAATACTGTCATTACTTCGGAAACCACCCCCATATTAGAGAACTAGGTACAACTGAAAGAAGTACAGCCTCCCCCCTCCCCCAGCCCCCCAATTATCTTTTGCTTTACAAAACACTCAATTTTACAGGCTGCAAATGAACTAATCCTGTTCTTCTTAAACAAAAAGACATCTAACAAGTTTGCACAATCAGACAAAGTAAAATAATAATCTATGAATGATACAAGGAATCAAAACAAGCATTTAGAAAAAATTATATGTATCAATAACACAGCTAAAACCTTTCCACCTGTGATACTTTGAGAAATGTACAGCAAATGCTGGCAACTATTTTAATAGTTTTAATATTTTAAAATTATGCTAAGGTTAGACTTTTTTCATTGTACAATGACCCCTAGTATGGCCTCTTTATATAATATGCCTGATCATTTTTCAAGACAATTCTTTTGAAGGACAATTCGCAAAGTTAAAACAGATCTAGGACAGACTTTAAAAAATAGTATTTATCTGCAACCATGAATAATAAAGAAATCTCATTTATTTATCCAAATAACTGCTAATGTAAAGGAGGTTGTGTTTTCTTCTCCGTTTGTACATCTTTCCACCTGCTATCTCCTTTCTTTCTCTTTCTTTCTCTCTCCTAAGTTAACTCACAAATTTATGGATGGATTTTAATGAAATTTTCATGGTGGGTCAGTAATAGGCTAACTTTAAAGTTGTTAGATTTTGGTGGTGATCTACTAATTATCAGTTAATCATTTATCTGTCTGTCTGTCTGTCTGTCTGTTCGTCCGTCTGTCTGTCTGTCTGATTAAGGAATTTGATGAAATTTTAAGAATAGGTCAGGAATAGTCAGGAATGGACCAGGAGGATAAAACATTGGTAAGCCTGAGGAAAATTAACCTAGATGGTAAGACTTTTAACTCCGCCAGGCTTTTAACTCTGCATCAATAAGTTTTTTTTTTGTAAATTGTGAATATGCTGGCTTCTATCATGAACCTTGGCAGTACCACATGAAGCTAAGTATCTGCTGAAAATGCACACTTAAGCGACAGCTTTGCTTTGAATAGGAAAATATCCTCCTATAATCATCCCTCCTTACCATTTGAGGACATGCCTTATCTCAATGATCAGCCCTCACCATCTACTGAAGTTCCCCCTTCACTTAATAATAGGTGATCAATTGAATCTGGACACCTTGGATTCTATGACCTTGCTTTGTACAGCTTACATGTGATGTCATTTGCTATAGACCACAGAGTTCAATGACCTTCCTTTTTCCCAGGCAAACAACATTCATCAGATCTACTAAATATGCATCTTCTACTTAATAATATGTGATCCCTTCAGCCTGGACACCTTGGATTCCATGACCTTTCTTTGTACAGTTTACATGTGATGTCATTTGCTATAGACCACAGAGTTCAATGACCTTCCCTTTTCCTAGGCAAACAATCCTTCATCAGATCTACTAAATATGCATCTTTTACTTAATAATATGTGATCCCTTCAGTCTGGACCCCTTGAATTCCTCGACCTTTCTTTGTGCAGCTAATACATGTGATGTCATTTGCTATAGACCACAGAGTTCAATGACCTTCCTTTTTCCCAGGCAAACATTCTTCATCATCTACTATATATGCTCCTTCTACTTAATAATACGTGATCCTTCCTGGCTCCAGTCTGGACCCCTTGAATTCCATGACCTTTCTTTGTGCAGCTTATACACATGTGATGTCATTTGCTATAGACCACAGAGTTCAATGACCTGACATTTTCCCAGGCAAATAGCATTATAGCACTTTCTGACTATGGCCATCGATATAGTTTTGTGATTTACGGCATGTTGATCTGGATGTATTTTCCCAAGTGGGTGAGACTTAAGTTGCTTAATCATCATCATTTTTCTTTCTTTTTTTTTCTTCTTTTTTGTTCTGTAAATGTGTATTTGCTAGCTTCCACCGATCATTAAAACTCTTAGCAGAGACTTAACTGCAGTCCCAAGTTGTTTTTGGAAAGGAAAGTTCTTTCTTCTATATATCCACCCTCCCAGTCACCATTCATGGACATGACTAACACAGATCTTTAAAATGAAAGCACTGTCTCAGACATGCTGAAAACTTTTCAGAATGGTCGGACATTTGGACCGGCAGTAATGAAAAATTTGCCGGACCGAATGGATTTTTGTCGGACTGAAAATAACCCTATTCATTTGAGACGGATACTACCAGTGCGATTAGGTGGCTTACTTTGTTTGTGAATGTGATAGGTTTGAAATGGAAGGGAAAAAACCCTTTGGTTTTATATAATTTTATTAGTGAAGTATGTCGAATGATGACTGTAAATTCAAAATTGCGTTTTTGAAACTTTTGTCAGTCCTTTGGACTGACCGAGTCTCAATTTTTTACCGGTCCAGACAAATTTTCCCGGTCATAACTGATCGGACTGACAGTTTCAGCATGTCTGCTGTCTGTGACTTGGAGGTACAGATTTGTCATTGTGACAAACTTGACATGGTCCAGTGTTAGCTTTCGGCACCTGGTAGCCCCTAACTGCCAAGGTGTGGTAGCCCAGATTGGGAGTTTAGATCATTTAATAATTTTTTTTTTTTTTTTTTTGCATTTTCATAACAGCATTTGATGAGTTTTTTTCAGGCACTTGCCCACCTGTGTCAAAATCTACTTGTCCCACATCTGGGGGAGGGGGGGGGGAGCTATACTGTAAACGAATAATTTAAATAATGAGGTTTTTTTAGGGGGGGGGGTACAAAAATTTAATTGCCACATTTAAATATAACATTTCAAACAAAGTTTATTATTTTTTTAAGTTTAGGGCACCAAATACTTTTTTATTTGATTTTCTAAGGAGGGGTTAGGAGAGGTTAGCACCAGGCTAGCCAGCACTGCTAATGTCAACCTCCATTATAAATGCAATTTCATGATCAGATTATGCAAATACTTGCTTTTAACATCAGATTATAAGCTATCGACTCCGATTTCTCTCATCTTCCCATTCAGCACTTTTTATCTGAGCTCAATTGCTTTATTACTA